CACTCAAGAAATATTTCGGAAATGAAGACATTTACCACGCACACCCTTGCCCTGTCACTCTAATAAAAATAAATTTTTACCCAATAACAATGGGTAATAACATCGTTAATTTTTTTTGGGGTGGGTCTGTCGAAAACCAACCCGATGAAGATTGAGACAGACTATACCCGCTTGATGTGCCGATTTGGGAATCACCAATTAAGCCAAACCCTGGTCATACTACCTGGACTTGGCAAAACGAAAGAATTTTGCAATAAAATCAATGCCAAATAAATAAACTATAGAAAACAATATCATGGAACACATGCCTCCATGAAAAAACTAATAAATGTTTATATCTTTATATACATCGACCAGAAATGTGGTGCTTTTACAACCGGCCCTGTGATTAACTTTGGCTGCTGTTTATATAAGTATGTTTTCTTTTTTTTGCCGAGCAATTCTTGAAACATGTACATACAAAAAATAGTACAAATATATTACGTTCTATTTCATTACATTTTTACATAGTATCATTATTAATATACAATACATTAAATATTAGCTCTAAGAGAGACAAAAAAATAGAAAAGCGGCTGGCGTGGGAGGTATTCCATCAGAGCTTCTCAAACATGGTTCAGGAAAACTTTTAGGAATGATAACAAATCTCTTCCGAAAGTGCATAAATGGGGAAAACGTCCCAAAGGATTGGCAGACTTGTCATATCACACCTATTTATAAAAAAGGATCAAAGAGAGAGTCGAAAAACTACAGATGCATTGCAGTTATATGTTCAATCGGACGTTTATACTCGCGGGTCATAAAATCAAAAACTGAACAGCAAATAGCTACAAGGGAAATGGAAGAACAGTCAGGTTTCCGCTCCGGAAGATCGGTGATAGACAATATCTTACTCTTAAAATCCTTGTAGAAAAGAGGAAACAGAGAAACCTAGAGACACACCTTCATTGACTTGGAAAAGGCATATGACACCGTCCCTTTACCCTAGTTGTGGAAAACAATGTTAAACATAGGAGTCAAACCAAAATTAATCGAGACGACCAAGAACCTTAACCAGCACAACACTGCAAGAGGTAAAATAGCAAATATGCATCTAACAGAACCTTCCACCACTGATAAAGGACTACGACAAGGTTGTTGCTTATCGCCAACATTGTTTAAGATGAAAAACTTAAAACGTGGATAAGACAATGTAAGGGTATGGGAATAGCCGTAGATGAAAACCTCCTTATGACCCTCTTCTATGCTGATGATCAAATAGTGATAGCCGAAAATGCAGATGATTTGAGCTATATGGTACTCGTTCAGTTTCCGTATTATGTACATGCCGGTTTGAAAATAAACATGACGAAGTCAGAATACATGATTCTAGGTAATGACGAAGTAAGAGATCTACCACTCGAAAACAAAAAAATGATAGGGAAAGAGTAGCAAAAGGAAGAAAGATAATCAGATCACTTAACTCAGTACTATGGGAGAACATACGGAAGACAACAAAAAAACGAATGTACTCTTCCTTTGTGGAAAGTGTGACATACGGAGCGGAGATCTAATAGATTATTATCTAATAAATTATTATCTACAGAAATGGATGTTTGGCGGAGAAGCTTGGGCGTATCACGATTAGAAAGAAAAACAAACATCGATGTAAGAAGAGAAATGGAAATAGAAAAAGACATTACAGAGAAAATAGAAAAGCGACAACTGGTACGGTTTGGACATGTAAACAGAATGACAGATGATAGATGGCCAAAACGAATTTTAAAATGGACTCCCCCGCAGAGACGAAAACGTGGTTGACCAAAGCGCAGTTGGAGAGACGAGGTGGAAGATAGAAAATTATGGAAAATGAGCACGGAGAAGCGAAGACAATCTCATGAATCCGTTAAAAATTGTCACTATCGCTACTGTCGTCACGTAGTTCAATGATCAACTCCGCCACTAATCATTCTCGATAAATATTTTCTTCTTTTATTCCTCGTTTTTCACAGTTAGACCAGTTTTGTACTGATATTTTCTTATATACGCTGTTAACTCAGACCAAATCATATCAATCGGGTTAAATACACAATGATACGGGGCTAATCTCAAGATTTCATGTCCGTTTTGTTGTGCTGTCGAATCAATATTATAGACTTTATTAAAATGTTTTAGTTTTAGTAATTCCAGAAGTTGTTTTTTCGTGTAGCTCTCTTCAAGATATAAATCATTTTCGTACAGATATTATTTAATTTCTTCTTTATTTGAAGAAATTGGAATTTTTCTAATTTGAGATGACTGATACATGGTATTATCCAACACAATAACAGTATTGAATCTTGAATCTTTGGTCATGTCACTTGTTTTTATGGCTGCTGCTACTTCCCCTTCTGAATTTCTTATAAAATTGTCAACATTGAACACAATTTATTTAGCATTTATTTGCTAAAGTAGTTCATCTTCTAAATTGTCATTAGGTTCGACTACCAACTCCACTTCCTCCACTTCTTCTAAGAGAGGAGCATCTGCTTCACTTCACGGTCTCCACATTTTAAAGCGTTAAAAAACAGGCCACTTTAAAAAATGTTTAGTTGTAAGTTTCTAATAAATATTTATCTCTATTCTTATCTTCTATATCTTTATCTACCGCGAATATCGTCTGAAAAAAGAGTGTTGTTGTTTACAAATCGAAGAACGATGTAGAAGACACAAAAATACAAGAAGAATGTTGTTAATCGATAGGCACACAAGACAAAAATGATTATTTTCAAATTTACCCATAAGAAAAATAGAGTACCGTTTGAACTATCCAGTGAAAAAAGTCCCGCAGGGTCAAAGCTCGAGAATCAAGTACATAAATACGTACCGACTACCCAAATAGCACAAGGACATCCGTAAAACGTCCTCGGGATGTCTGACGGGACATGGAGTATATCCTAGGGATATACTGTTTCAGTTAAGGGACAGCCTTAAGACGTCTCAAGGATATACGATGTTACTAATTGGAACGTCCACAGTATATTCGATACATCTATCTGTAGGATGTTTCTTAGGCGATGCTAAGGAGTAATCTATTGGGAAATATTTCAAATACACAAGTTTTTTTCCAATTAACATTCAATCTTTAATTTTGCTTTTGATGGTAAAAGTAAAGGGCTGCCGATTGAAACCATTAATAGAACACATTTTACATACATCTGATTTTTTTCTAATGTAGATATGAAAAAATTGGAGGTACATAATATATCAAAAATATAGAACAACCAAACTTAAAATATCTTAAATATAGAGTAAGGTACTATATCTTGAACTAAACTCTAAAAGAATAACAAATATTTGACAGGTTTTCTGTCATTCTGTGGTGAAAGCAAGAAATTTAAAACATTTTTTAGATTCGTTGCTCACGCTCCTTGGCTCTTTTCAGGCAAGGAACTATTAAATTAACACATTCTTTTGATACATTTTACAAAACTTCTGGATTCCTCCTGGGTCGGTTTTTGCTCAGTCGAACTTGCTGACGTTTCGTCAATCATCCTGTTGGCTTCTTCAGAGCTTGACTGAGCAAAAACCGACACAGGAGGAATCTAGAAGTTTTGTAAAAAGTGTGGAAGTTTCTTTAAAAAAATAAATTCTTTTGATTTTTGTTATGTGTTCGCCTTCTTATCCGCATCTGAAAATATTTTAGTTTTGAAAAAGACAGGTCTTATAAAATTGTACTTCTCTAAATCCGCCTTTTAAGTTGAGGGCTTGATGCTTATAATACTCTCATGAAAGTGATCTTAGATGCTAATCTGCACGATGGAAGATTTTCATACGAAAAAAAGTTGATGTAGGTATACTTTTATGTATTTCGTCACATTAAATACAAATTTCATAAAACTGTCATTGGTAAGATCTCTTTTATGAGAGTAGGTACTATAGCGCGCAAAAATAACTAGTCCAAATTTGACTTTTCAATTTGACAGTGAAGGCCTATTTTCATGCAATATTTTTTGTCAACCTAAAAAATTTCCTAGTTTTTTTTTCTAGGTGATGGTACCTACTATCACCATGAAAACAAGCCTTAAAAAATGGGGAAAATGTTTTCATGAATTAACTCAACAACCACTTTAATGTGAAAATTTGATTCCTAAAATAAATACTTTGTTTTTGGATCCAATTTAAGAAAAAAATTCTTTTCTGAAAATAAAATAATTTATCTATGTTTTATGCAAATGTGTAGCTAAAATATAATTTTGTTCTGGGGGATTTTCTCTAATATTGCTTACTTATAAAATAAGAAAAGAAGTCTATAATCCAAAAGGAGATACAATCTAAAAAGGTGCACATATGGCGCAAGGGGATATCCCCAGGTCATCTATTTAGCGCATACCTTTGGTATGTCGTGCACAGTAAATCCGAAAGCTATCCATATATCCCTGGGATATATTTTGCAGTATATCCTTGGTATATATGCTAACGGATATCCTAAGAATATCCTCCACATGTTCCGGGACATGCGACTTAAATGGGACATTGACCGGATATACTGGAGATATTGTGTGCTATTTGGGTGGAAGGATCACAGTCCATTTAATTTTCAAATAAAAATTTCAAGTTTCTAAATATACGGTCTATCTCAGGTGAGATCTACTTAATGCAGTATAAACATCTGTTGGGATGGGTTTTACCACGATCCTGCGAAGGTCTGCGGTTAAGGTACTGTAAAATAGTCAAAGCCATAAATGCACTATATTTTTGGTCGTATTATACTTAACTCTAAAACCCCCCCTAAAATGCATTAAAACCCGAATATTAAAATAAAAGAGATATGAAACTAATGTTTCATGTAAACATTTCACCCTGTAGGTGGATGGCGCAAGAAAAAAAAACTGAACGATTTAACGTAAATTTAGAATCGGCACAGATGATAAACCACTTTTGTCGTCGGCCTATTTTTACGACGCTACGGTCGTCGTTACGTCAGACGGACGCAAACGATATTAGGTCAAAAGGCGCGGGGATTGATTTTGTATACTCACGGGAATAATGGGGAATGTAAGGTGCCGTCGGGGGGACTCCTCCTACGGCCTGTGCGTAACTCGGCGGGGCTGCCGGCGGTGCCCCGTAAGGGGGAGGCATGTCCTTGCCCATCGCCAATGCAATAAGGCGTACCGCAACAACCACCTCGCAATAAGTGACGCGAACGACTTAACGCTCCGCGACTTACGGACGACAACGCGGCAGCTGCGACCTGTGACTAACGGCGACTAAAATCTTTAAAGCGATCTAAATGCGGCGAGCGAGGTCGAACGTTTCATCTGCTGAGAATCGAAACGGGAGATTGTCGTGCGTTGTCGGGAGGCCGTGCCTTAAAGGTGGACACGCGAAAATTTTGCGAAGAATGGCAGTGATTAAGGAGGGATAGAAGGATGCACGCCGTATAAAAAATAACCGTGTATTCACTTGAAAATGTAAGGAGGCGATTTCAATTTTGGTCAGAAAATTAGTTTCTCCTGAACTGTACTCCAACTATAGAGTGATCCATCCAAGGAATACTAAGGTCACTTTGATTGTTTGGCATTGGCATCGATTGCAGGTAGTACCACCCGGGTTTGGGTCAACGGCATCCCAGTCCCTCATACAAATGAAACACTTTTAATTTAACGGAATAAAAATTAGGTATTATGTATGTTAGCACCGAACAATTATTAATATGTGAACAATATTAACACCACTGGCTGTGGAAAGCTGCAGCTTCAGTTCATTTGAGGCCTTCTATGGTATGTAAAGCTTTAGCTTGGGTTCATTTCATGCCGGCTGGCTGTGGAAAGTTTAAACTTGGGTGAATTCATAGCCTTCCGGCTATATAATGATTTAGCTTGGGTTTATGTGACGCCTTCTGGCTAAGTCAAGTTTGATCGGTGGTAATTTTGTTAGAAAAATATCATTTTGTTACCTTCAATTGTAGTATTCGTTAGTAATTTTAGAGATTGCTCTATTAGTTTTCATAGAGTGTAACTTATAGTGGTATGAATCCTTGTTTGTTTGTTCTTTTCAGAACATTGCCGATTTAGAGATTATCTAAAATCTTTCTATCCCATAGTAGTCCTGATAGAGCGAGCTGACTGGGCCGAAAGTGTCCTAGTGTCGGGTTGGCCGTGTTAGCATCGAATAATTATTAATAATATGAAGAATATTGTAAAGCCACTGTTAAGTTCAAGTGGTGGTTCGTTAAACCTGAAATAGAGGAGGGCTACAGGACCACCACCACCTTGAACCGTATGAACTGGGTTGGTGTCCCAAGACCCGAGAGAATTATTAGTATATTAATAGTATAAAAAACATAATATCAATCAATCAATCAAATAGTCAAGATCCTATATTTCCTCCTCTCTTTTGATCACTTGCTAGATTGCCAGTTCTCTGAAGTCATATAAGGTCTATAGGAGCAAATGTAATAGTTCCTTCTTTATCAAATTATATTCAAATTCAAAATTTTTTGTGCTAACCATTTCACAATTTCTTGTTTTCTCCAAGATGAAGTCTTCTCGTGAACGATGGTTTTTAAAAATTAGTCCCAAGCTATTTTATTATTTCAGCAAGATATTTTTCAAAAACATGTGTCATTAAAGTGTCACTCATTTTCTTTAGCCCATCATAAAGGAATAATCAATCTATCTTTTTCCTTATTGGGAGTAATCGAATGTTTTCACGTCACAAGTTACTCAGTGAATATCTTCATGCTGTTTTGGCAAAAATGTACTCAAAAACCCGAAAGTGCAGATGCATCATGTTGATAAACTTCCTTCAGTCACTCGGATGTTAAATACTCGCTACATTCGTGCCAGAACAAACATGTAACTATGACATGCCGTTTATTAAACTTGTATAATATTATTATTATTACTATAAATTTGGCACGCCTGTGTAACTTCATTTAACCTTCAAATAAATAGTCGATAGCTCAAATTTGGGACACACTGTAAAAAATTCTCTTACATCAAAAATTGCACACTTATTCAATGACATTCTGTAACTCATGTTGCAAATCATGACGTAGACGTTGTATATCCAACAACGCGCATGCGCATTTTGATAAAATAAATAATAGGTAGGTACCATTTGTGAGACTTGGTATTTATTTCGTTTCCGATAAACTTGGTAAAACAGGAACCAATGCATTGTAGTTAAAAAAAATCCTACCTAAATCTTCCATCAGAAAAAAACGACCATTTAAAAAAGGGCACAAGCAAATAGATTGGTAACTAAGGAAGGCTGAAAGAGATACAGATATAGCGATACAAAATTTCTGTCCCCACTTACACGAGTTTAAATTCCCTATCTAGATAGCGGTTGTGGGCTCACTAAGTTCGATAAATTATACACAAACAAGAAAAATTTCACTTAACGAATATATTTAGTGGATCTTGGTGGTAAATATTTAAAAACGAGTTGTTTACGTGTATAGTGAACGAATGTTTTATTGAACGGCAAAACAATCAGATTTCAAAAATACGCATAAAAGTATTGTTGAGGCAAGTTCACCAGAAACCCTATATCAGGGAACAGATAAAATTACAGAAAATACTTACCATAGAAAACAAGCAATTGTACTATTTCCGCAGAGGATAGGTCGGTTGTAATCCTTGATACCCGATTCTTTAATTTGCGTTATTCAAAACAAATAGTGAGTGTTAATAAAAAATCATAGGAAATTCAAATTTCCACTTGATTGCAAATTCTAAAAAATAACGCATTTCTATTATTTGACGACTCGGCTTAGCTTCATTCTATATGCTCGGCATCTCGAACCACATGGTACACAAATTTCAAATAAGCACTTATTTTGTTGAGAAAGTGTGGTAAAGCATGATACCTTTGTTAATAAAATAAATGTGAAACTTCACACAACACTTCTAGTATGAAGAAAAAAAATAAATCAAAATTAATAATTATTCTAGTATACTTAAAGTACCAGGAGACAACAAAAACCAGGTATAAATTCATTTAGAAAATTTCCATATTCTCTAAGTATTTAGAACAAATCCATTCTTAAAAAACAATGCTGGTTTTTGTGTTATATTAAATATCCAACAATGATCATCACATTTCTAAAAAATAAAAATCTACATACAGCTCTCAAAATACCACCACATGGTTTACATAAACACGCTATACCTATCTTCAAAGGTTGTATATCCTACCTTGACAACTTTTTATTCATTTATTCATTATTCTTTAATTTTTATTTCTATTACATCTAAATTTTTTATTCATTGACCTCTAGGAAACTGAAAATAAATGACAAAAATAATTAGGAGATGTCTCTGAAATAAAAGTTGCCATAGTTAATCAAAAATTTAAGTAATTAGCAATTATATAATTTGTTAACAATATTATTTTTGAACTAAAGTTACATAAGTGTCACAAACTTAATTTGATTAAATTATTAGTGTTTGACACAGCCTAAACATATAAATTGTTTTGAATACATTCACATGATGACAATAACATGGTATATATTATAATATGCTAAGTAATAATCAGTGCCAGAAAACTTGGTTGAACATAACATTAAAGTTTAAGAAAATACAATACTATGACCATAATTGAAGAAAAAATTTGTTATAAAATAATATTACGTCCTATTGTGCCTATTTCTATGTTGGCCCCCTCTTGAACCTCTCTGCCTTTTTTGACTATCACTATTACTAGATGGTGGTCCACCAGTGCCACTAGGAGGTCTACTCACATTATTACTGTTGGCCGAGGCTTTAGCTAGTGGTCCCACAATGTTGTTGTGCTGGATGGATGCTGAAGTTGTTACAGGAACTCCCGGAGTTGAGGGTCCTACTCTTCCCGCACCATTATTTGTTCCATTATTTAAAGTCAAATTATTGGTAGTAGGTATACCAGCAGCAATTGGAGAAAAAAGATTTGGTTCACTAACATTATGTTGTTCATTAAAAACCATACAAAACTCCCCAATTTTTTGCATGTCACCTCCTTTAGCTGTATACAGAGTCAAACAGTTCCTCCAAATTGATAAATAACCCTTAGTTAAGCGAACTATATCACCAGGAATTAACAACTGCCCCGCTTCATCCCAAATACTTGCGTTAATACAAGCTGTTTGGTCAGCAACTTTAAAAGTTCTAACTTCCCTGTTCTCTTTTGTCACTGTAGGAGGTCCAACCTCAAGAATAATAAACACAACATTGATATTTTTTAAACCAGGTCGCATATCTTTAATTTGAATATAGTTATCCATTTTAACCTTTAACACGTTCTTATAAACTACAGCAAAAAGGAGAAGGCAAACGTGTTCATTCTGAAAAATTCTATTTCAAATCAAAACTACATCCTACAAATTTGGAAAATGCGGATTTCAAAATTCAAATTCCCACAAGTCAAATAAATAAAAACGAGGAAACACGTTTAAATAAAAAATTGACACTGTTTTATAAGAGTTTCAAAAATAAAAAATCAGAAAATATTTGTGACAGAAACCACAGACAAGCTTCAAAGTGCTACCAAAGTTAAAACCACTTTGGGAAATGGAGGTCATAGGAGAAAAACTGTAATTGATGCTTCCAGATTGGCATTTGATTTTTGAACTTTTGATTACATTCAATAAAAATAGTCTTATACTTGCAATGTAATATATTTTAACATATTTTAACTTGAGGAAAATTCGTTAGTTGTAGTGCCATATTCAGAGCTCTGAAACACAGAACACCGATATATTTAATAAATTAGTATTAAAGCCAGTAGACACAATGCAGTTTCTACATGTGTTTCTGCATGCATTTTTTACATAAATATTGCTTCGTGTCTATCGAGCTTTATAATTAAAAGAAAAATGGAATAAACAAGAACCGCGGCAAAAAGCATAAGTTTGACTATTCAGTTTTGTTAACCGACAAAGATATAGTAAACGCGATAGAATCGCAAGAATCTTTGCACATAAAGCATAAACACACTCGCGCACATGCCATTTTTAATTCATATCATTTTTGAACTGATTGCAGCAAAAAGCAAGGGTATGTAACCAGTCATATGCAATTCTCTACAATACCATATTATTCGCTTTTCTATGATCCTACCTTTTTCGAATCCCTGCACCAAAATATTATAAAACAGCTGTTTTTTTGTTTGAAGTGGAAATATTTTTAATCTTAATTTTTGAAATGTATATACGTATAACTAAGTAAAGTTTTATTTGCTAGATAATTATTTCTCATATACTTCTCAGGTTTAAACTAGTTAAATTATTTAGTTTTTTTTTTGGGTATTTTTCTATGTTTTATGGGTGCGCTTAATTCACGCAGAATGATTATGATGATAGATGATGACGAAGATTCCAGCTCAAGAATTGAAGATACCTCAGATGAGTTAGGCACCGATTCCGATTCTGAATCGAACACTAACAATTTTGTTGAAATGCTCCATAACCTTATAAGCAGGTAACCATTTTGATAGTAATAACACAGCATCTAGATTTCGTTGAATCGTTGAAGATATATATACATTCAAGTGCTTTTTGAGTTCATATTTGATAAATAATTTCAGAACATCGTGACTTTTTTTATTTATTAAACTAGCACACATTCACACTTTTTGTGAGAAAAACGTTTTCTACATTGAAGAATTAGAGTCCTGTTTGGTTCATTCCATGTCTTAATGTGTCTTAATAAGACTTAGGCAATTTTATTACAAATTTACATAGTTACTTATGGTAGTAAGGGGTTAATTTCAACCTAATTGAGGATCAATATTCTAGTTTAATATCTCTTTTCTTAATTGATTTTCATATTAAGAGACTAAAAATGTGAAATTTTTATTTTGAATAGTTTTTGGGGCAAAAAATGGAAATTACACTGCATTCCTCAAAGAACAAAATTAAAATTAGCAAACTGAACTAGGAGTGCAGGTTTTTATTAAATTAATTGTTTTATTAATTTTATTAATTACACTTTTAAGAAATAACGACTTTTGAAAAAAAGGTCGACATGCTGTTATCTTGAAAAAGAATCATTTAAAGACCAGTTACGTGTCTACTGTGACTGTCTAATTATGACATGTCCTTTATTGGATTGAATTTAAGGACAGCTTTAAGGAGACATTCTCCAGCTTATACACTGAAAATGAATATACATATTTATCAAATTTAGAAAGTAATAGAATTAAGTTAGCATCATCTGAACTGTTGATATATCCTGCTTGGAAACAGGTACTTTCTCGATCTGTCATGAAAAAACTATAACAATTATTAAAAATATGATAATTTGTTATTATTTTTTAAGCCAATAGGGGTTGGCTAAAATATTTTTAAAATGGCTGAACTTGCTGGTATAGAGAAAATGGGTGCTTATTTTTAATGAGACATTCCATGTATTGCAAAATTCCAAACTTATTTCAGGTACAGTATCTTGTAATTTATACTACTCTATGGAATAAGGCCTGTTTAACAAATTTTATTAGAAATTTCATTTCATTATTACTACAGTGTAATAAATAAAAATTTCAATTAAAGTCAAACTTATTTACTAAGAATTAAGAACTGGCATAAGTTTTGTGTAAAGCTGTAAATAAAGCTTATAGCTTCTACTTTGAATTAATTTTCAAATCCCCCAATCTAAATTTTCATGTCTAAGTGTTGAAAACAATTTGGGCCATAGAGAAATAACAATTTTCGAGAACTTACCTTTGACACCCTCAAGTTTACTAAGAGAGCTAGCTCACTTTCATTATTATCACGAGTTTAATCTCTACTTGATCCATTATTTGTCTACATCAAAATTTGAGATATGTCATGCACACCCCTTACGGTTGGCAATAAAAAATTGTATTCAGCACTTTGTTAATAATAATTGTTAAAATTTAAGACGTTCTAGTGGTCAGCTACTTCTTCAGGGCGGTGATGCAGAGTATTTACCTACCCGACCCATGCCAAAAATCAAGTATCAGCTTGATACATCTCTTTTAGATGTAAGTTGCACAATAATTTATTATTTACGTGCGGCAGATGCGCAATGGGCATTTTTTATCCAGAAAATATAAAATTAGTTGTTTGCACAATAATTGAAAGACTATGGTGTGTTCATTAGCAAGAGAGAGGAATAAAACAATGGGGGGCCCTGGTGAATATATTATGTATCAACTGCTAGAACCTCTGATGAAAAATAAAAAATCCAGTTTTTTTTTAGTATGTATGTATAAAATTTAATAAATTTTAATCCCTACCTAAGATGTAATACTGTCAGAAGTTAGCATATTTTACCAACGAACCATTAACAGTCGCAAATCTATTGAACTACAGTTGAAATCAACGGATGTAGTGCCACACTGCAGTTAGTTGTTTTGTTTGGTCTTCTATAGATTTACATCCCTGGCTTTGCTATAGCGATTTGAAATTTGCGCGGTATTTGCGAAAATGCTTTCCATTACGCTCGTTTCCTTCTGCAATTGTAAATTCTAGTGTCAATTTCTAATGTTGGTAATTTGGAAAATGAGATCTATTTAAAATTCCGTGAAATATATTTTCTTTTCTTTTTGCGTACATATTTTTATGTTTATTAAGGGAGAACTTTAAAAATTCATTAGAGCACTGGTAAAAGCCAAGTGTATGCCTTTGCCAAATGACTTCTTGGGTACAGATATATTCAGCGGCTTACAATAGAGGTTATTCCATTCTGTTTTCGAGTTTCACACTTTTGAAGACATTATTATTCGGGTAAAATATAAAAATACCTATCGCTCTCGGATGAATCTATAATTACAATGGCGTTTAAAAGTTTTATCACTCTCCCTTTCAAACTAATAAATTGTAATTACAACAAGAAATAAGTTAAGGTTTCTTTTTAGAAAAGCGAATTTTCGCTGCTGACGAAACAGGCCTGCGCATTGGTAGATTCGAAAGGCAGTTTGTCCACAGGTACCAACGTGGCAGCTATGATCGCAAAAAGACAAGTAATATTTTTTTACGTTCAACTGTACTTATTGTCCTAGTGCTATTTTCGCAGTCAGGGTTGTTTAGTCACGGATCGTTCAGTTCTGGATCCATGTGCAATATCAGAAACCAATACCTTCCGAACGAAATGGTGTGGGTGCTGGAGGGCAGTACCGGCAAAGTTTTTTGTGGGATATTCACTAAAGACGGCAACTCTTTCCTAACCGCCTCCCAAGGTATTGTAAGCACTCTGAGATTTTGCGTTTTGCCAGTTGATTGTTTTAGATCGTTACATAAGACTTTACAACTCTGAAAATACCTCCTATAAAATGTATAAAAGGATAAGGGCTAGAGATGTCGGTTGGAGTATAATCGACGTTGCCTTTAGCCCCGATAGTGAATCCTTTGTATATTCAACTTGGTCTTCTTCTCGTACGTAGTGCATCAATATTGCATTTCATTAACACACATTTACTTACTTTTACTTTTCCATTGATTTGCAGTTCACATTTGCCCCACTTACGGCAGTTCAGAAAATCAAGATCCCGTCCAACTTTCAAACACCAGCAGAAGGTTTTGCGTGTTTTCAGTTGTGTTCTCATCCGACAGTCGGGAACTTCTATGCGGTGCCAACGATGGGTGCTTATATGTCTATGATAGAGTCAGAAATGCAAGAAAGTTAAAGGTAAACCATTATTTTAAAGAGAACCTATTTTTATTGTATATAGCTACTAGGTATATTAAAAAATAACCCTGCTTTTAGCTCTGTAAAAGAACCCCCAAATAGTCGTTTTCCAAAATTAATCGCAGAGCTAGGTGGAGTATGTAATTAGAAGGTACAATTCAATTCAAACTGTAGCATGTCATAATCATATATATCATATATTGTCGTATCGTATACATTGCTATTATCAGCTAAATTAACTGAGGCAGCAACTTTCCTAAAACTAAACCAAAACTGGCATTCAGTCAGAGAAATTCGTGGAATGAATACTAAAGAAATTTTATATTCTGTTAAATGCAGTCAGATACAATTCTACTACATTAGAAAAAGCAGATTGGGAATTCAGAAATATTTATAAGAATAAAATTTGTTTAATTTATTTATTTTAATCAGTTTCTCGCGGAAATACTAACAGAAAGGGGGTTTTCAGTCAACAAAAAAATGGTCGTGAAAATTTTAAAAGAAAGTACCAGAAGGGGTCTTCGGAATACGCACATTACAAAGTCCACGAGAAACACTTATTCAGGGTATAAAATGGCGGCAAAACAAAATAAGAGAAATCAGAAAATATGAGACAATTCTAAATGGATGTATGTGGCTGCTTCCAAATAAGAAATCTTAAAGGTCAATAAAGACTAGCTATTTATTTTGTTTTTCAATCCAAAGACTCAGTTTCCAGGTTATTTTTTTTTATTGAGATGAATAAGTTACTATTTGAATGAATTACAAGTATTTTTGCAAATGTAGTAAAATTGTAAAAAAATAACTGGGGAAAGTGCCAAAAACTACCGCTTAAAGCCGGGAATTTGGTTGCAGTGTTTTGAAAGAAAAAAGATAATAAAGGCCCAATTGCCGCAAGTTTTGTTATTATGCCATTAAGTCACAAATTTTAAAAATACGCTGTGTGTTGAGGAGTTGCTATCACATAATGAATTGAGCGAACGTCAGTGTCGAAGAAGACATGGCAAGCCGACTCGCGTGACCGTTAGTTTCGGATTTCTAAATGCGCCCTCTCACTGCTTCTTGTATACTGCAATAGGCTCATCTGTTAGTTTCATGAATTTAAACATAAAAAAATAGGTTTTCCTAGTCCATACTCTAAGATAACTCAATTATTCTGTGGTACTATTCAAAACATCAAAAAAAAACAGGGGAAAATGGCCGTAAATCCTGGTTAAAATTGCACAATGAATAATTGAACCCTTAAGCCATAATAAATATTTAACGACTTATTTATCGTAGATAACAGCCCACGAGTATGACGTCAATCGAGTTCTTTTCGCGGACAATTCCTCCCAAATTATCTATAGTGGCGGAGACGATGGTTTGGTAAAAGTTTGGGATCGCCGCACTATGGACGAAAGTAGAAACGTCAAACCAGTCGGCGTACTAGCAGGTCATATGGACGGTATTACTTATATAGATTCGAGGGGCGACGGTAGACATCTTATAAGCAACAGTAAAGATCAGAGTATCAAGTTGTGGGACGTGAGGCGATTTTCCGACGACAAGGCGGCGAAGGAAACGCTCAAGGCCGCTCACAGTCAGACGTGGGACTACAGGTGGCAAGGCGTGCCCAAAGAATGTAAGTGTTTATACAGAGTGTTTCGCCATTACTAATTCGCTCTAAAATGACGCCGCTCAATATAAAGTTAGCTCAAAAGGAAACAGAAACCAAACAATCTTTAATATAAGCAGCTAGAGGTGGAATAATAATTTAGTTTGATAAAGACACGGTGTTGTTGAAACAATTGTCATGTCAAAATATATAATTCCGTGAAAATCTGAACTTTTAGTTCTTATTTATTTTGATAAATGGATTCAATTTTTGAAAGAAGCCGAAATTGGTATCTTGGCTATTTGGTATTTTAAACTACTTCTATGTTGCCGAATATGTTCCCATAACATTTGGTTTTTTAACAAATGTCTGCAAAATTTAGTTTTTATTTTTGTTTTACACAAACTTGACGCTGCTACTAAGGCCAGTACGATTCGATGTTGGATAAACACATTCTCATTTTAAACCAACATCCATGGCTAAGGTGGGATTGGAACCCGCAACCTCTCAGTGTGCCTAGCGTCAAGACTCTCGCCTTAACCGCTAGGCTACCGGAATTCCTTATATTTTTTCTTTCTTGTTTACTTTAATTCCGAGCGCGATCTGAAACAGAGTGAATGCTCTATGAACGGGTTTTATCAGTTTCACAAACGACCCAATCCCAGATGGGAAACTCGTTCTAACCTTCTTTTTTGACTTTCATATTAAAATTATTGTTTCGTTATTTTCCAAAAAGACAAGAAACCTTACAATTCAATCATGGCATATTATAAAAACGAAATAGGATAATACACGAAATATCAACCAAAGAAAGTTTTTCAACTTGAGTTTTTTATACGAAATATTCGGTTACTGTCTTGTGACGTAAAATAATAAATAAGTTTTTGGCGACTTTTTGAAGTCCGTTTTTATTTGAAAGGTCGGGAAAAATTTTGGAATCGGGGAATTGGATATATGTTCTTGTTTCAGTATATGCAGATAATAAACTTTCTGGTGATACTTCTATTATGACGTATCGAGGTCACGTAGTTGTAAAAACGCTAGTCAGATGCCGTTTTTCGCCTAAAGAAACCACCGGCCAGCGGTACATTTATACAGGGTGCGGCAGCGGCAGGATCGTCAGTAAGTCGAAAATAAACAATTTTTTATTTTGTGTTTAGTGGTTTTTCACTTTTCTATAACTTTTTGTAGTATATGATGCCCTGACCGGAAAAATAATCAAGCACAAAAAAAATCACATGGCATGTGTCCGAGACGTTTCCTGGCATCCCACCAGAAACGAGATATTAAGTTCTTCCGTGAGTAACCCGATAACTAAGTTATGGTCAGATGCACCCTTATTATTCAAGTTCAATGTACTCTCGTTAGAGCCATTCTGACTGGCAGGCAATAAAGAATTTAGTTTTCACTTTTACAAATTTTTCCAAAAACTATAATGGACAAAAACGATATTGGTTTAACGTTGCCGAGTTCCTTAGAACTTTTTTCTAAATAAATTTCTAGACCTATCTCTGTTTTTCGTGACTCTAGATGAGTGTTTACCAACCTTTTTTATGCCATGCCCCACTGTAACATTCCTAAAAATTTTATATCCTCCATACATAATTTTTAACATTAACAAATTGATTTGTTCACTTGAGAAACATAAATGATAGGTTTCAAGAAGATGTCACTATGAAATTGCTATCAAAAAACAATAAATAATATTTTAAAACATGTAATAATAAAGTGAAATTCAAATTCAAAATAATTTTAATCCACACTCAGCTAGATATGAAGATGGAAACGGTAGTATGTTGGCATTTCAATTTGTTTTAAATCAGAAAATCTTTCTTTTAAATTGGAGTATCAGTTACTTCACATAACTCTATATTGATAATGAAACCAAGTATCTTTGCTTTTGAGTCAACAAGTGTTTCGTTTGTTGCTTGAAGTTGATTATTAAATGTATTTAGTTTTTCAAAGATATCGGCTAATTAACTTATAAATGCTCTACCATTGATTGTTAAGAGATACTTCATTTCAGGTTTAAAAAATCACTAAGAGTATCCAATATAAATCCTTTCAAGCAGTTTCCTATAGATCGTCATCTAACTTCAATATGAAATAAAAGTCTCACATGGTATGCTTGCTCTTGCTCTTCACAAAATAACTTGAAAAGATGCTCGGATTTGGCATTAGAATTAATAACATTAGCACACTTTATTACTGCATGTAGTACTTCACTTATAACAGGCGAGATATTTTTGGCTACCAAGGTTTTCCTATGAATAACACATTGCACAAGAATCATTTCTGGATTCGCATGTTTCATCAATTTTAAGCAGCCATTTTTCCTGCCCATCATATTAGGGGCGCCATCTACAGTACAAGATGTTATATTTTTCATTAGTATCATTTCGTCAGCAAAATGTCCTTCATCAACATAAATTATCAATACTGCCTCAATGTTTCTCAAAGTTTATTCATCCATTTGCACTGAGAAGTTTCTTGTTTTCAGTTTTTCAACAAGTTGTCTTTCAATATCTTCGCTCATTTCGTCTATCCTTCTGCTAACAGTATTGTTACTGAGTAGCATAGCTTTTACATCTTTGTCATCTTTTTCCAAATTCTCCTATATTTTAAATATTCCTCGGACGAATTTTTTTCTTGCCTGGACCACTCATTTTACTATGAGTTTAAAAAAAAGTTCAAGTAAAAACTAATGATAAAATACGTATTATAACGAATTCAATGAGAGTAAAGGTATACTAAAAAAAAAAAAAATTATTTAAATGTATATAAAACATTAGCGATATGTATTTTCTGGAAAGTTAAATGCTTCTAAAATTAAAATAAATATAATAAATAGTCAAATACTTACCAATTATATCTAAACCAATATATATAAATATATTTATTAAATCACCGATTAACTCATGGACACTCATTCAAATTAACACCAACTGATGATGATGTGTGAAACATTACAGAAGTTGAGTTGGTCCGATTAGGTGCGAACAACAGCGTTGTTTAGCGAGTTTTAAAACATCCGCAGTTTACTTGACTCAAATCACCCAGTTGATACGTTTTTATGATTTTGCTTTTTCTTGTTGTCGCCGATACCTAGCATTGTGTTTAAATAGCCGGGAGCGAAAGTGTTAAGAGTTGTGTCGAGTGTATTCTGAAATTGACCTCCCTTAATTAGGGAATTGGCATTTATGATTGAGATTTATGATGATGTGCAATGGAGAGACAACAGTCTTCAAGAGCACACTACAGTAATATTGCGGGGCACAATGGGCCCATCTGGTAGCCTAAGTGCTTGGACGCCCCTCTTTCATACCAATACCAATACAGTAATATCGCTCTCACTAGACTCTGGTTTTTGAGTTTAATGACTTTTTACTTCTCATACATTTGTTAATGTTTATTTCATTTTATTTACGCCTAATGGAAAAATTTGATTCCTTCATGATTTATTCTACGACCTGCATGGTAAGAGTGCATCCGACTATACTATTATTTTGGAGAAGTCCATACTGGGTCGAATGATAATGTAATGTTTAAAGTGGGATGGCATAGTTGGCAAATGGGAATACTTCAGACCAAACTCATCAGACGATGACCAGGCCGAAAATAAAAAACTACTCAAACGTCGGGCGGTTCGAAGAAGTCCAAGGTTGGCAGCGCGAAGAAGACGAAGAGAAGAAAGTAGAAGTACGAGTGATAACTGAACCAGGGCCACGATTTTCCTTTTGTTGTATAATGTCATTTCGCCGCGTTTATTACTTATTAAAGATTTCTTTGTTACAGTTAAATTTTATTTTACGCCAAGTCATTTCTTCCCCTCCACCATTATTATATGATATCCGAATTTAGTTTTCACAGGTGGATCTGTATAAATAGGACTGTTGACGGTCGATATAGGCAAATCGAACGCTGCGTCTTGAAAAGGTCCCACCATGGATCCCCTAATCATCCAACCAAGGTCGCCGCCAGATCGCGCCTTGTCCTCGCTATAGGCCGCTGCGACATCAGAAAACTTCTGACCCGCTTTTAACTTTTCAAGGGCTTCTAGACATTTGCTCTGTTTTTCACATAAAATATGTCTAACTTTGACAGTGGTTCCACCTTTCTTCTCTTTGGAACCTAATAGACAGACATGAGATCAAATTATTTCTCGCCTATGCCTATGCGCTTTTTCTTGATGCGAGAGTGTTATAATTCATTATTGAATTGCAGAGGAATCATATTTCATAGATGAGGTATTGTACCTAACGATTGTCAAGAGTCCCGAGAGGGTTAGTACGAAGGCCTTATTGTTTAAAATTGCTAGTAAAATTGGCCTCGAAGGAAAAACAGGAATAACAACTATCTTCTGATCTTTTGGAAACAAATGACATAATTGATATCTTACTTTAAACAAGCAATTTCACAAAGATATGGTGATGTGCTTTATATAAAATTTGTTGTCGACCAAACACTTTAAAACAAAATATAATGGTACTTCGCTGGTAGGAGTAGATGCAAGGAAAAGGGTTTGTAGCAAGGCATAACAGCACTTTTCAAATGAATGATGTAGAGACGCTCTTTCAAGAACGAATTGGATTGTCAAAAAATAGACTAAGTGGTTGAACATGGGATTGAAATAGCAGAAAGTTAGTGAAAAGCTAGAAAACGCTGCCCTTTATAATTTCTCTTGACTCCAATGACTATAGTTTTGATGCAAATTATATAACCTTTATGCTGTTTAATTTGAAAATCAGATTTTATTGCCCTCTCGCATTCAAAAACAGTATTGAGTAACCGAGCGATTTGGTTTCCACTACCTTTATCTCCGGAGTCTTCCCCTTTGCTTGATTTAGACGGTTTTGCTCCCGATTTTTTCGGTGGCATTATAAAATGAGTTGGCAGTTTCAAACCGCCGTCGACATCACTCCACTTTGTTTATTTCAATAATAAATAAAAATGGCCTCAATAACCTCAAACTAGTTTTGGTTAGTTTTTTTTTTCGTTTTCTTTTTCTTCTTTTTAAGGTGGTACTGACACCAACCAATTTACCACTACAACTGAGCTGGTTTATTTTTTTTCTACTCCCGTCTGTAAAATACCTAATTACACACCGATCTAGCGTGCGGCAAGTGTCACTTTACCACGTCAGTTTCGTTTCCCACAAATCGGAGTCACTTCGAGATTTTACCGCACGGGTTTAGGAGCAATCGGATGTTTTTGGAAATATTTCCCACACTTTAAATTTTGACGTTTGTCAATTCTGACAGTCATGTCAGTGAATGTATTCGTGTTGTTTTGCGAAAATGTACCCAAAAACTAACGCTCGTAAAAAAAGTATAGTATGCAACACATTCAGTAAACTTTTTAAGTCACTCGTTTATTAAACACTCGCTCCGCTCGTGTCAAATAAGCTCGTGAGTCAAATGCCGTTTACCGCACTTGTTGCATAATATACCATTTCCGTTTGGTCCCATTCCAAATTAAATGTCCACCTTTTTTTTTTAACCTCCCCCCAACCCCACTTAATATTATTGAAGCAAGCCTTTATCGTTTACGCCAGCACCATTGATCAGTTGACCAGTTAGAAAAAGAAGAAAACTGAGAAATTGACGTTTGACATTTGGCAGATTCTTTCCGTTCCCAAGTTAAGCACGCGGTTGATTTGTTATTTTTCCAAGAGAATTTAGGTATGTTTTTTATTTTCAAAATGTTTTTAATTTCATATTTGTAATTTATTTTATATTTCGTTCTTGAACAATTTTCAAAATTTTGTAGTATGGCCCCGCGATATGAAATTGCTGTGGGTCTCAAGAAGGGTCACAAAACCACAAAAATCCCCTCCGGCAAAACCAAAGCGGACAAAGTGCGTCCCGCCAGGTTGAAGGGGATCCAAACGAAACACACAAAGTTCGTTCGGGATTTGATCCGTGAAGTTGTGGGTCATGCACCATATGAAAAACGTGCGATGGAATTACTAAAGGTTTCCAAGGATAAGAGAGCACTCAAGTTCTTGAAGCGTCGTTTGGGTACTCACATCAGGGCTAAGAGGAAGCGCGAAGAATTATCCAACATCCTTACACAAATGCGGAAAGCTGCTGCTGCTACACATAAGTAATTTGTAGTTTGGGTTGTTAAAAAATAAAAATTTCAAAACAATTTCATTTATTTGTGAACATATACAAATAATTTGAAGGAATTCCCTAGGCAGAATTCTAAAAAATTCCAAATCAAAAAAGGATGTATGTTTCCAGGTTTTTTATTTTACATATTTTTAAAAGCCAATTACACTATCTGCATCATCAACAATAGCCTCATCCCACGGCCCGTAAATATTGTCTTTCAGTTTTTGGTATTTAACAAACAGCAATGGACAAATTACATTTATAAGTATCACAGCAACAATAAATAAGAAGGTAACAAGATTAGAAATCCAAAATAAAAGATATGTGTTAATAACAAGAAGAATTATACTTATTAAAATGGAATTATGAAATTCAATTCTCAAAATTGGAAATAATACAAAAGCTTTTGTGGCAACAGTCATCAAAATGAAAGCTTCACTTGCAGAAGACAATCTAGATGCCAAGCAAATTGATGGAAAAATTGCTGCACTTAGAGACAAACTCTTGGAAACAATTGCAGCACTTACCCCATAATCAAAAAATATTAAATGTATAAGCATCATCAAAAATGTTAGGGTGTAGATTGTATCAGTACTTATTGTGTCTGTTAATGTATGCAACACTGGCGAAAACAACTGACCAAACACAACAAATGTTAACACTGTTCTCAAATCATGACCCAACTTTTGCTTAATACTGCCTTTAAACTTTAAAAGATAAAGTAGAAATCCCAGTAAAGTCAAACAACTGGTGATATTAAGAATTACTGAGGGTTCCGTCCACTTATTCACAATGTAAAAATAAATTATGAAAAAAAGGACAACAGTACAAAACTCCTGAAGTAATAAATTTGCACCAAACACGGCTTCCCAAAAACTGACTTCTTTGAAATCTATATTTTTACGTAAATCCCTGAGGAATATGTTTTTATCTGTGTAATTATCAGGATAATTTTGGTTTTCGTACAAAATTTTTCTCCATGGCTTTCTGGTAGCATTCTTGTTTTTGCTTATCATCGTTGTTGTCTTTTTTCATGCATCACACATTTATTTTCTGCCTTTTCTAGATTACATTCCTTCAATTCAAACGGGTTGAGAGGTTAGTTCCAATTTAAAAAGCATAGAAGAAATCAAATAGGAATTATCTTCTTTAATCTTGTTAGAGCAGTCAACGACCGACACACTGTAGTATCTAATGCTAGGCCGTATCGCAATAGGAAACTAAAAACAACAAAAAATAAGGTGACACTTTAGGTAATGTCATGCACTATCGTAAGATATTACTTCTGGAGTATGATGGACTATTCCACCCATTTCCCACTAATTAGGCACCGCTCAGAGTTTTTGGATTCATCATTGGATTGATTCAACATCCTTATTGTTAATAATTATTCATAATCTTGGCCATTGGAGATAATAAAAATAAAAGTAGAGGAACCTGTACCTAACCATTAAATTTTAGATAACCGGGATCACAAAACTATATCGTTTCGAATTTAAGAAAAACGAGATATGCGGAAATTTGTGATAAGTTGGTACAAATTTCACGGCTATAATTAGGAACAACTTAAGAAATGATAACAAAGATGATAAGCCTCTCTTAGATATACTCCAACAATTATTGGTGATTCGTTTCATGAAGTTGTACAGAAAAATCTTCTAAATAAAATACTCAGAAAATGAATAATTTTACATTTTTTTTGGTTGTATTTTGTTGGGTTAGTGGTGGAAGTAGCTGGCGATTTTTCCACAATGGAAGAATTAAGGGTGGAAACTTGGGATCTCCCCAGCACCGCAGTTTGATCAAGGAGAGCCGAAACTTCACCAGATGGTTTACCCAAAATTTAGATCACTTTGATCCAACCAATAGAAAAACCTGGGAACAGGTATAGTACGTTCTAAAGTTTTCTAAAAGTTTTACTCCTTGTGAAACCAGTACATTTATGTTACTAAGATTAGGGTTATAGATTTGATCGGTCAATTTTTTTTGTGTCAATTGACGAAAAACTTTTCCTAAATCAACTTCAAGTGTTTTTTTAGCTTATGTAATGTCGTGATATACAATAATAATAATTGTATTCTGCAGGAGACCAAGTTTCTTGACAATGTATACTCTTTGTGTCTTGAGGCTTTGCCATGAACAATCTATCTGGGGTTGAAAAAGTACCAGTTATTTTTTTAAATGCATAAAACCCTAGTACTAAATAGAACAGAATTGACTACCTTTGAGAAAATAATTGACCCAGCGTTTTTATTTTAGAGATACTATGTGAATGATGAGTTTTTTGATAGATCAAAAAATACAGTATTTTTGATGATTGGAGGTGAAGGTGAAGCAACTGATAAGTGGATGACAAATGGAACTTGGATCGATTATGCTCGAGATTTTGGCGCCTTATGCTTCCAATTGGAACACCGTTTTTATGGAAAAAGTCATCCTACAGAAGATCTGAGCACAGAAAATTTACGTTATCTCACAAGCGAGCAAGCTTTGGCGGACTTGGCAACATTTATTTACGCCATGCACGAAGAATTTGATCTTCAGCCTGATGTCAACTGGATTGCATTCGGAGGTTCTTATCCCGGTTCCCTCGCGGCATGGCTTAGACTGAAATATCCACACTTAGTCCGCGGTTCTGTTAGTACTAGTGGGCCGCTTCTGGCACTCACGGATTTTGACGGTGAGTTTTGGACAGCAGATGTTTGGTAAAGTCATGGGCAAAGTAAATCACGAGGGATTAACCACTGCGCGCAATACAGTCACAATCATGCGAAATCATTGCCTAATATTGGAAATCACTGTGGAAATGCCAAAAATCTGTGAAATCACGTCAAATCTTCGAATTACTCATAAGATATTACGTCATCATTGTCTTAACCAATAAAAATAGGCTTATGACCCTATGTGACGCTGCGTGGTGCTAATTTAATTACTATGCGCAGCATCAAAAGTTTTGTTTTTTAGTTTTTAATAGGTCATCAATAATATTAGTTTTTTAAAACAATAATATAAATTTTCAACTATATTAGTTTAAAAAAATATATACCTTGAAATGTAAATATACTTCAGTGTTCAGAATCAGAATATTTGAAATAGCCCAAATGCTCAAACAAATTGTTTCAATTTTCAATGTAGATTGCTAAAGATATCTAAAATTTTCACGCAATGTATATAGTCTGTCCCAAGTTCTTCATTCTCTTTCCTTTCGTCTCGTTAAGTATCTTCAAAACCATTTGGGAAATTTAACGCGCTGGATGGTTCCAAATAATATGCGGCTGCCCCTCTGCTGACGTTAAAATGGTAATGTTGGGAATATTAAACCCTTCTTTTAATTTGTTTTTTTATTATTACTATTTTCTTCATTATTTATTTTTAATTCAACTAAAACGTTGTATAGAACGATTTTTACCAAACGTTGAACACAGTGTTGCTATTTATTTATTTTAAAAATACCAATATAGATCTATAAAGTAGCCATTCTAAGTTAATCAACCCCAAATATAAAATTAGGAGAAATTAAAAAATACCTTTAAATACAGCGTATTTCCATTCAATATAAGAAAGTTATTAGTTGCCCGCAAAAATAAAAGTTCTGAGATAAGCATAATATTTACAAAACTTTGTCACTTTTTTATAGGACTTTTTTATTTGCATGATTTATTTTATACAGGTTCTTGAAACAAATACTACATTATAATTTACAAATTTACACAAATTAAATATGTTTCCTCTCGCAATTTACCCGCATCACTAAAGCGTTAACCATAAAAAAAACAAAGTTTTAATATTTTTACCAGTTTTGATTTTTTTTAATTGGACATTTTTTCGGTGTTAATTTTATTTTTTTTAATTTTCAATAAACTTAAATCTTTTTCTAGCCAAACTTCTTCATGAGAACTGCAATTGTTTCTCTCTGGCACACTAAACAAACGCAAGTTTTGCAACTGCAATTTCTGCAGACCCTCTTCTGATAGCGTCTAGGTCAAAAACAGTTGAAATTATATAGCGAGCTTCTCTTCTTATCTCTCTCTCACTCTTCCTCTGGTTGAAATTTTGGAAAAAATAGAGTTTTGCAAACTACACGTTAAAATTTAAATAAAAAAGATTTTCAAAAACGCATCCACATAAAATGAACCAAAACTCCAATTTTAAACAAAATCATTTAAAAATTACTTATTATAAATGAATTTAATATGAAATAAACTTTTCGTGCGGACTGTACCTAATAAATATTTTGTGCTTTTTAATTTTTTCTTTATAACATTCGAAAAACCGTTTCATTATCATAATAGTGATTATAAGCACCAATAACAGCGCCAAATCCTTCCTCACTCCTACTTCAAACGTTGAAGTTTTATTTGTGAGTCTCAGTGGCTTTGAAATTGACAATTTTTGAAAATTATTGACTTGCGCAATCATGAAAAATCTCGCGCAGACCTACAGTATTCCGCAAAATCTTGTTGAAGTCAATGATTTGCTCAATTCTCTCACATTTTATCATCGTGGTTAATCCGTCGGTAAAATGTATCTTTTAAGAATACTACAAAGTAGTTGGTGAAGATCTGCGAACAATAAGCGAAGACTGTTATTCTGCGGTCAAAAGGGGCACCGCACAAGTCGATTCTCTCCTGCAACATATGACCGGTCAAAGAACCCTCACGGAAATGTTTAAACTATGCGACCCGATTGAGGATAGCATCGAAAATGGCAACGACATATCCAATTTTTACGACAATCTTGCTGGAAATTTTGCCGGCATCGCGCAGTACAACAAAGATAACCGGATCGGACAGAGTCCCGAGAAATTAAATGTCACACTCGACACATTGTGCGGTATTATGGGAAACGAACAGAGCAATATGTTGGAGATTACGCGACTCGCACAAGTAAACGCTTTAATTTTAAACATGACCAATCAAACGTGCACCGATTACGTTTACTCGAAAATGATTGACGAAATGCGCAACATCAGTTGGGATAGCGAGTCCGCTGAAGGCGGCAGACAGTGGTTCTACCAGACGTGTAACGAGTTTGGCTTTTACCAAACCTCCTCCAACAAGCCACAAATATTTGGCGACAAGTTCCCCGTTGAGTTTTATATTCGACAGTGTGCTGAAGTTTTCGGACCGAATTACAACGCTTCCTATCTGGAGGAGGGAACAAAACGCACCAACACGATTTACGGAGCGTTGGATATTGAAGTGTCGAATGTCGTTTTTGTGCACGGATCTGTCGATCCCTGGCACGCTCTGGGCATAACCAAGTCTTATAACGAAAATGCCCCCGCCATTTTTATTAAAGGTCTGTGGCCGCCATATCTTTGATGATGAAATACAAATTTACATTAATTTTTTTTACTGTTGCTTCTAGGTACTGCCCATTGTGCCAATATGTATCCAAAGTCGGAAAACGATTTACCGCAGCTTCAAGCTGCGAGGGAGCAGATACGACAGTTAATTAGTACCTGGTTAAAATATTAAGTATCCGATTAACATTATAGTGTCGTTGAATGATAATAAAAACATACTTCTTATGGATGATTTGTTTTTAAAACAATACTTGTTCGCAATAATATATGCACAGCAAACGCGTCATTATAAATATCTTCAAAGAGCTAAGTCTATTTAATGCGAACTATACGTGGAATTGTTAAAGTCTATTTCGGAACGGTGTAGAGTAATAAAAGCCCATTAGATATGCAAAGGGACTTTAGAGTTTCCGAGTTTTGCCTGTTGTTATCCATTCATAAACAGTAAAAATAGTGTGCTAAGGAAGTCCCGATAGGATGCTCGTAAAAAGGAAAGAATTTAGTTTCAAGGTTTTAGGTAACTTTACTGACATGCCCGACTGTTTTAAATCATTTAAAATTATATCGGTTTTTTATCTAACATGTATAACCTATTCTATAGTCTATTTCGGAAAGATGAGAGCAATAAAAATGCATTAGGTATGCCAAGGGACTATAGAGTTATCCAACGGATACTTACGACATTCATGGTTTGGCAAAATTCTATCTTTTAATCGAGTGCTTGGGTCAATTTCCGAGTTTTACCTGTTGTTATTCAATCAGAAACAATAAAAATAGTGTGCCAAGGGCGTCCCGATAGATGGCCGTAAAAAGGAAAGAATTTAATTTCAAGAAAGTTAGGTATTATATACATAGTCATAGGTTACGGAATAGGTTATATAGTCGGTAGAATTTATGATGGCATAGTCGGCAATATCACATAGAATAAAATAGATTATTCATCTTGCTTCCACTCATACTTCCACAGATGTTGTTACACCTTAAATATCTATCTGATCAATACAGGACGATTTATTTTATTATATTACTTGGGAGTAAGAGAGACAGAATCAGTTGTACTGGGCATTTATTAATTTCATCCAAGAACACAACCTTCATTGAAGTATCAGGCGCCATAATCTCGCAAATTCACGCGTTTTGATGGTACATCTTGTTTCTCTAATTCTTTCATAATTAGAACAAGTGTCGACTTGCTGCAGCTCAAAATTCGTTTTGATTCTAGCTCATTTCCAAAGTAACATATTTTCCTTTTATAATTAGGTCATGAATAACATTTCGCATCTCATTTGTCTCGAACTGTCTCAAGTGTCTGGTCTTTGAAATGCTCTCTCTTATGTTTTTTTAGCACCATCAATACTTTGTGTAATTCTGGCTATTAAATGCGACCTTGTTTTGTAGTGGAAACTACTGTAATCCGGTACTTGGTGTTATCACTGCCATTTTTAATATATAGTGGAAGCAAGTGAGGCAACTTTTTTCTTAGTTTTATGACCGACTATGTCATCACACGTACCGACTTTACGACATTTGTTTTAAATGTCCACAACGGACACACTTTGGTTCGCCCGCGTTCTGTTTAGGATTCGACTTAATATTCCCGTAATTGTAGCTACATCTGTGAATATTATCCTATTCCTATTCACCTATCACTACTATCCGTGCCCCCCCAGTATTTGTTTGTCAATTTGTCAATAAAATAAGAATCTTCTGCATATTGGCTCACCTAACGTGAATAATTTCAAGAGAGTCTGTTGCTAAATTAATGAGTATTTTTGGAGTTCACAAAAAGTATAGGAGTCGGGACAACGGATAAACAATGATACAGACAGACCCAGTTGCTTTATACTCTTTGAGCTACGTGAAGGGGTATCAAGAGGGGTCAATCACGTTATATTTTTCATTATCATTGTTTCCAGTTACGTAGTCATTGGATAAGAAGCAACAAGAAATTCATACCCAACAGCTATCTGTGAAACGCAACATTGGAATTGGAACAAGAAATTCTTCTTACGTGAAAAAGATGAGGTTAGGTTGACCATTATTCCACAAATTAAAATTCGATATAATTGGTGCGCTTTTGAGGAAAAAAATACTATCGGGTTGAATTATATGGTACCTCTTAGAGATATGTTCTGCAATTATCAAAAATACTAAATATTATGTGTAACGGATCATTTATTAGGACCTTAGTATAAAAATAGATTTAATATTACTTGGGCAAAGTCGACAACAAATGGAAACTCCCCGTACCGATTTCGCAAGGCTTTCCTATTATAAGACTACTGGAGGGATTGCTTAAATCATCTTGTTTAGCTGAAATTAATGAATGTTGCAGACCTGCTAGTTGCGCAAAGGGCATTCGCTTACCTTTAATTATTGCTTCTTTAAGAAATGCCAATGACGACTCAAACGACATCTGCTGTAGAGGCGAAGCGCTCTTTTCTATACCCTTTCTGCTCATCGGTTCGTAATGTCCCGTGAACGTCATATAATCGGCTATAAGCGACAAATGTCTAGCATCGACCTTTATGCCGTAAACATTGAAAACGTCCTTTACCTATAAACAAACCTTCAGAAATGCGAACTCATTCAATGTTGCACAACTTTTACTTCTTTCACCAGGATTTTGGATGCAGCTTCGATTCCGTAGGTTTCCGCCATTTTATGAATGTCATTACAATATAGCTTGTTCAAGTCGAGCAGGTCATGGTATTTAAACATCTCGACAATATTAATACCGTCCGTGCGAAGGGTTAGCGCTCCGTCCTTTACGTAAGTGATGGCACGTTTAATGTGGGGCGTTTGCCACAGCACCGATTTCGCGGCGACATCTTTTAGCAAATTCGTCAAATCGCACCTTTTGTATCTCAGCGGCAAAGCGAAAGACAGTTCGCACCACCTACCTTTTTTATTTTGGGAATATTTATTGGCGAATATGTACTTTCCCAGTACATAATCGTCCTGTTTTTCCTTATTCTTTTCCTGTGCTTGTGAATCGTCAGCATTTGCAACATCTTCATCTCCTATGAAAACAAACGGAGTGATCACCAAAATAAATGCAATTTTTTTGGGGCCAGATCTATATAGCTAACTAGCTAGCCTTGCCTTAGCTGCTAATATGGAATGTCTAATCTCGCTTTCAAAACATAACCGTTGACAGTTCGTCAATTTGACAGTTTTTGTTCGGACATGACATTTTTTTAAGGGCTGTCAAGAATGACACCGAGATATATCGGGTTTATTTCTACCTTTACTTGATAAAAGTTTTTTATTTAAAACAAAAGGGTAAAAACACAACTTCCCTAAGCACCTTGACATAGCGCGTGTTCTTTGGATTACCTAGGTAACCATCGCCTCTGACAGTCTCATAAAATTTGTATTTGTAAATATTTCTTTCTCAAGAACTTTACAAAATTGCACTTTCGCTGAATAAGAGATCATTCCCATAGTAATAATTTTCCTGTTGGGCGTACACTTCAACTGAAGGCGATAATTTAAATATTTAAAAATATGAAAAATGTTTAGGTCTGCATATAGTAGAAACTTTCTATATTGGAAGCAATCATAATAATTTATTTAATTATTTATTTACAGTTTAACCAATTTACAAAACTTTTACATTGATTAAAAGCAAAGAGAGAGTAGCAGTATAACAGCTAGAAACTAGAACAAAATATAAAGATAACAAACTTTAGACAATAATACCATTCAGAATCTTAAAACGTAAAACTAAATCACTCTGAAATCTTCTGGTTCGAAGAATATCAATATTGAAGGCCTCAGTTATAATACTCTAGTTGATCTGATACCCATTATAGGTACTTTGAAGCCAGATATCTTAAAAATACGTTCTGAACGGCTTCAATGTTATCTATATGATAGGCATAATATGAAGACCATACCACAGAAGCATACTCCAGTCTAGAGCGAACCAAAGAGATATAAAGGAGTCTAAAGCAATGTGCAGAAAGTGAGTTGACCACGATTGGGTACAACAAACCCAAGACCTCGCATAGACCTGTTTACCACTTCCGCAAAATGTGCTACTACGAAACTTAGTATAGAACGAAGAAAACAGCCAAGTCTTTAATGCTAGTGACGATGGTTATTGACAAACGACTAGCTAACTATTGTTTATATAAATCCTGATAGTGACTATCGAAACTGGTACAAAGTGAAGGCGCACCAATTATACGGCCTCCACATTGTCTAACAATTATATCAAATCAAGAGATCAAAAAATCACTTGTGTGACAATTCAACGGTCATAAACAAAACTTAAAATTAACTGAGTCTCAGGCTCGAAGAACAAGAGTGATAAGTCAGGCTATATAAATATATATAACAACAAATTTAAATACTAACATTGCGCTCCAGTTATTTGTGTATGTTGAGTTGTGTGCACATGGGGGAAAAATCCGATGAAATTGCCTTTTTTGATCCGCACTCGACAGAACACTCATTAAATTAAATGATGTCATTTCCATAACACAATGTATATTGATATCTGGAAAGCATGACAGTCTTCATATTTAAGTTACTGTCTCGGCGTAAAGAAAAGTTAAACCTATACAAGTCTTAAGAGAAAAGCCCGAGTGCTCACTATTTTTTAAATTCCTAAAACACATTTAATTAAATACGAAAAGCGTATAGCAGCTCAGCACCGCCAGGTATCGCGAGCGTTCATATAAATCTAATTTAACATTTATGGCGGCACATTCGCTATATTTATGTTTGATCAATACTGGGAAAACGCATTCACTTACCACTCTCTGCGTCCCTTTTCTCATCATCATCATCAGGATCTTGATCTTCGTTTGCCTCTCTTTGTTTATGCGACATTTTCGCATCGTCTTCGTCTTCTACTTCGTCGTCAGAACTGTTTTCATCCCGCTGCTGATTTGTGGTTTCGCCGATGTCATCGTCGTCATTGGTTCTGGCCCTCGCCGATTTCGCCTTCTGCTCCTCGTACGTGATTCTGAAGCAAACGTTTTCTCGGACCTCGACCCCCTTCGCTTTACTTACGCACTTACAGGCGCGATTTGATTTTTGACATCTTATCGATAGCCAGAAACATGTCGTGGAAGAAACTGCTTTTCATATGCTTCAATACTAAGCCTATAGGCGCGTAATAGTCCTTGCAGCATTCTTTGGGCAGGAAATTAAACCTGAGCGTGTAATGTTGTTGCCTGAAAGATCGTCGCAATGTTTATGAAAGCGGTAACCAGCAGTCAACATTATTTGTATTATATAAAATATGGATAGTATATTAATCACGAGTTTGATTAAGCACGAGCGGAGCGAAATGTTTGTATAGGCAAAAATAGCACTTTGTTACTACAATATAGACTATTAGACGCTAAGGGGAGTTGAGGAAACATAGCGCGCCTTTTCAAAAATTTTAAATGCAACTGCATATGTATTTTTAGCTAATAGCTAAATTAAAAAAATCTAAAAAGTTAGCGATTTTCGCTAATAGCAGATATTTGAAAAACAGTAATAAATGTGAAACAAAAGCGCCTAACTATCTTACTATTTACAAATTTTCTGGATTTCTATTGCGTGGCTGTTGTTATTAAAGCTACTTCTCTATCAGAATCCGAGAAAAAGTCTGTCACCCCTCATGACTCTAAAATTTCTCATCTCTACTGACTCCCTAAGCCAGGATTATCCCTTCAACCCATTGTCAGCACCATTGGTTGTCCAACATATTGCCAGGTAAAATATCTAGGTTCCATATTGGAACCGTTCACAGGGAAAAGTGATAGTTTCGAACTTAATTCCTTTCATTTGACTGAACAATTAAAAACCATTACATGGATGCAAACGATATTCTGTCCCTATTAATGAAATTCCCAACATAATTTCAAATATTTAAAACCTGAGAATCTAGAACCAAACCTTCTCATCTTAATTGAAAAATGGAACATGTTCTTTGTCAAATTATGAGCAAACGCAGAGAACGGCTATGGGTTCTCCATTATCACCAATCATCGCGAATATATTTTGGAAGAAACCTCTCGGCACCTTTCATCTAAAACTTCTGTTACATGACCTCATGGTCACAACACACACACACACACACACACACACACACACACACACACCCACACACCCACACCCACACAGCCACACCCACACACCCACACCCACACCCACACACCCACACACACACACCCGCGCGCGCACCCGCACACTCGCACACACAACCGGCGCAAGAGTAACCCAGAAGATTTGTTAATAGTATTACACTAGCCTGGAGAAGTTTCCTTGAAAAGCTCAACTATCTTACTATTCAAATGGCGTATCAGTTGCGCTCTTAATTATAACCATTTTAAGAAAATATGAGAGGGAGATATCGATAACGATACCAAATTATAATAATGCTGCGTCTATTATTAAGCAATAATTAAAATTCCAAATCACGCAGACGTTGCAAAAATGTTTCTGTAATTGTTGCAAGATAAAGGTAAATGCAAAAGCAAGGTAGAGGCGTCCCAACCGCAGCAGCATATAATAGAGGCATTTTGAAGTAATGACGTTACTGGGACAATCAAAGTTTTGAGGTATTTTATTTGTTTACCTACAGATCCAAGGGCTGGCAATGATAATAATAAAATCAGTTAATACAGGAAGGCGACTCAATAAGATATTTTTATATACATCTAAGCAATTTGTACATGTTTCAAGTGACCTAATTTTATAAAACCATACTTGCGACAGATCGGATTCCATGCAGTGGAATATTCTGCGTAGTGCGTATTCTAAGATTGATTACGTTATTATAAACAGCAACGACTGATTCACGGTTGCTAAGGTTTTTCGTGGTGGGGAATACAAAACCCAGATTTCCTAGGCGCCTTTTTACAAGATTGTCTTTGAGTTCAGAATATTAAACTAATATTGTCTTATTTCTAAGTTACTTGCGAATCAAGCTGGCATTGAATTTTGAAAACAATAAAAATAATAAAAAGTAAAGTGTGCCTCTGAGTGCCGTAGCGTTTAAGTAAATTTGTAACTGACTGCCGTACCGAATTTTCCAAGTTTATTTATCGCAATGAACCTTCTCAAAAACTCTATCAAAAAATCAGTATAAACGGAACAGGCTTCAAAGCTGAAGTGCTGAAAAAAATGAAAATAAAATTTGTAAGCACTGGACGTTTCTTGTGAAATCCCTATTGATCACCACCTACGTCATTTTTAACCATTAAAAATAATTGTAAGCAAATAGTGGCTTCGAAGACCGCAAAATGACATAAGAGCGAGATATTTCTAAAGTTAGCTGCTTGCGGCCGACTTCAGGATTGGTACAATTTGTGCAAATTTACCAACCGGGGTACGCGTACCACACTGGAAAACTCTGCTGTACACCTTTCCAACTTTTTTTGTTGTTGAACTCCATTTCAACGTATTTTTTTATTCAAAGCTTATGTCGCAACAAAATCCTTCATAAATCGTCACCTATTAAAAAAAAATTACAAACCTCCTGGGAAGTAGCTCCAACCGGACGCTGACGCGAATATCTTCCAAAATGTCGGCGACAACGACGCGCGTGAGTTTTGTTTTCAAAACTTGCGCCTTCGCTTCCACATCCGAAACGTTCAAGAACGGGATCTCCATCGAGGGCGTTTTGATATTTTTCGACGCCATCATTAAAATTTCCCTCAATCTGGGTATACCGAGGGTAACGTTCATGTCCCCTCTGCCAGCGAAATGAAACGTATTAAGCGTCATCTGCGTAGAAGGTTCACCTATCGACTGCGGAACAGTGAGATGCGGAGGTGAATTCAGATTGTTGACCAAATACCCACCTGAGCTGCCAGTAAACCTACGGGCTCACCAGGTGGACATAACGATTGCATCGATTTGACTTTTAACATGACATCGAACTGCTTCCTAACCTTTTTGCTCTCATTTTTTGAAAACTCGTATCCTAACCGTTCCACGTGTTCATTCAAAGAACCAAAATAATGGTCGGGCTGGTATAACGAAGTCACAGGATCGGGGCAGCTTTTACAGGCCTCGCTGAGCCGCTGTTTTAGGTAAGGCTTGAACGCTTGCCACGTTTTATACAACTCGGAATTGGGCAGTTTCATCTTGTGCTCGGATTTTTCGTACAGGTCTTCCACGAATAACGAAAAAGGTGATATCCGTTTACGTTTGAAAGCGTCCCCGCCCTTGTCTCTTAACCAGTCGCGTATTTTCTCCCTATGACTGTCGATCTCTTGTCCAGCAATTTCCCGTTTTAGGTTTTTCACGACGTCCTTCTTTACGATAGACTTGGCGTTGTCTTTTAAAAAAGGCAACTGGTTTTTGTTCAAAAATTGGGCTTTCGATATATCCATGCCATCTTCGCCGTATAAAAATTGTATCACGCTTTGATCGCTATTCCTAACCTGTAGATTTCAATTGATAATAGTGAAATACGTTCGCAAAGGAATTCTAAGACGTTGTAAATCAGAAAACATGAACCTCAACACGGGTCCGGAAGTCCTTCTTTTAATGATTTCTTTGGCAGTCTCAGTACTTTCAAAAATGTAAAAAGATGAGTTCAATGAGTTGTTGTCTTTAGCTGCACCGGATGATTAATTAACACACCCAATCAAAGGTAATTGTCATAGGCACTTGGAGCGAAAAAACTGATGACTAAAGCGGCCAAGAATTAAAAAATATATATAATTGCTTTATTGCTCAAAAGAAATTAATCTATTTACAGAGTAATGTACAGTAGTATCCAAAAAAAAAGTAACCAAATTAGCTAAATTATCCAGGATTAATATATTAATTGGTTCAAAGCTAACGTCAATTAGACCTCAAACATATGTTCCTCAATCCATTCCGTCTGCAGTTAAATATATCACATAAATTTGATAAATTATTAGAATTACAACAGGCTACACTTATAGAGGAACGTTTTAAATGTTCTGTGAGAGAATTTAACAGTGATATACGAATATCCAAGTCCACTCACACATTCGGACAGGTTACAAACTTATGTAACAATTAATAAATGAAATTTCTAGAATGACCGCCAGGGGGCGCAATCGCATTGTTGAATTTTAAATCGAGTTATTTGAGATAATCTTACAAAAAGGAACGCTGTTTTAAAGTGTGTATAAATTCGATTCTTTTTTGGCGGAATAGTTTTTGTTTTATCTTTTAAGGGAATGTGGTGGAAGTGTTTGTAAAAATTGTAGTCTTTGAAAAGGTCTTTTTTGGCCGATAGAAGGCGTTTTGCGTGTTGTTCCCTACTAATAAAGTGTATTTTATCAAAAAAATTAAGTGCAACAACTGATTTATTTACATTTTGGTAAAAAAAAGAAAATATTCCCAAAGATGCGACAGTTCTTATTTCTTTTAATATCATAGGTTGGGAAAATGATAACAAAATGCGGGTTTCATCAGCAGGTTATACTCTTCGTTAGCTATTTTTTTTGTTGCAACGAAACTGATATGGTTATATTTTGGTAAGAAAATAAATTTTATTTATAATGATGTCGCAAAACACTCTCCACTCTCCAATCTTTGAAAAATTAAAAAAAACTAATTCAAGCTGCTAAGCGCAGCCTTGATAGTCTAAAACGAGTTTCTTTCAACAACTCCAAGTTTGACAAAGTGCGTTCTTCCGTTCTTAAGTTATTGACATTTATTTCCGAAAATGTTGGAACACCAGTTTCCCTTAAGAAACTTAAAAATAATGTCTAGCATTTTCTTTTGGCCGCTTTTTGTTTAAGGCTATTTGTACATGATCTCTCATTTTTTAATTTATTCGGTCATCATAATTAAATTTTAATATGTAGTTTTAATTTGTAACGTTAAATGAATAAATATTAAATAAATGTGACTTACGGTCAAATCGTACCCGACGCGAAGGCCTTCTAAATGCTTGATGAGACACCTCTGCAGGTAACCGCTCCTGCTGGTCTTGACGGCGGTATCGATCAGCCCTTCCCTTCCGGCCATGCAGTGAAAGAAAAATTCCTGAGGCTGCAGGCCTGTCATGAAGCGGGCGTCTATGAATCCACCGGAACGGGGCGCGAACTCCGTGGCCGGGAAGCTGGGCATCGAAGTTCCCGAAATCATAACTGGCGGTCTTTTGCCTTCCAACTCGATCTGACCCAGCAGGCACGATATTTGCATAGTATTAACCGTCGAACCTTTGGCGCCGGACTGAACCATCAGCTGGAGATTGTTTTGAGGAAATTTGGTCACCAACCCGGCCGGCAAGCAGACGTTGTTGATTTGGTTAGTGTATTGGTCGAGAGCCATTTTGTACTGCCTATCAATAACCTAAACAAAATTATTTTAATTTCTTCTGTTATGTGTTGGCAAATAAGGGTCCTTAAATAAATTAATTTTTTATTGTTTGAATTTTTGCTTTAATTGGAGAGCGCAATTTCTTATATTATTCATAATCAGCAACCAACGCAGGAGGAATCTTCTTTGTTCTTTTCTTAACAGTTGATCTAGTCAGTATGCTGTTTCGACTTGCAACCATATTGGATGTGCACCCACTTTTGGCAATATTTTTTAAGAGTAGCTTATAAAGAACCCTCACATTCAAAAAATATTGAAACAGTCTGTATCTCATCAACGTTAGAAGTTCATTTCTAGATTTTGCTATCAGTTTCTATCACCGAGATATATCATTTGGATTGAGAAATAACCAAAAACACTGTTATTCTCTCCAGAGTATAAAACATTCTATCGTTAAGAGAGTTTTAATTAAACCGCAGTTCATGTTGACTTTCCGTTACATTAAGAACACAGGGTGTTGTTGAAATGACAATGTATAATTTAATTGCCAAATTTGTGGATCAGGGTTGCAGACTAGTATTTAAGAAAAACAGCGACAAAGGCATTCCATAGGGACTAAAATTACTTTAAAATGGCCGAAAATGGAAAAAAGTAATGATAGTTTTTCTACCTGTTGAAATTTGGAATCGTTGGCGATCATAGCATCTCTGGCGCTCACGAGATCGTCTACGGGGGTGTCTTCTGGCAACCCCAACGCGGACGCCATTACACTCTGTCCGATTTGTCTCAGGTTAAGGATGCACTTCTTGCGTTTCCTATCAGCTGACTGGGTCGTTAAGATGTCGCGCACTCCCAGGGTGAATCCGTCCTGTTGCAGGAACCTCGTAAAAACTTTGGTGAACGAACTCAACAATTGAAGGGCGCAGCTTCCGCCATACAACTCGTACATGCAATGCACGAGGCCGTAGGCGGTGGCGCCGTAATGGGTTTTGTCCAGGATTCCCGAGAGGAGTTCCCCGTGCCTGATTACGACTTCCGCTTCGCTCATGGTCCTCTCGTCTTTGAAAGGGGTGCCTCCACATACCCACTCCCGCGGCTTGGAGGTTTTCCACGCTTTCGCTGGTATTTTGGAGGTGGCGTTTAGGTTGATGGGTTCCTGATCTTTGGGAATCACGTTAATGATCACGGTTGACAACACTTGCTTTCCCGACCACAACGGTATCGGTTTAATGATATACGGAGGAAGCGTTTTAATTCTGTCGACCTTGTGCGATAGGGCTTGGAATACTAATTGTTCGTAATCGGCCCTGGAACGAAAACGTAAACAGCATGGCCCATGGAAAAGTTTCCCCAACGTACTTGTTGAAAAAGCTTCCTCTAAGCGATAGACGTACGCCCGCGATCATGTGATCTTGAATGAGACCGCTCAGTGGCGTGCCGTCTTTCGGAACCAGGTATTGCTGCGCCACTTCGGCTATGTTGTAACCCTCGCTTCTGGCCACTTCGTCTTGGGGAAGGTGCGCGTTCATCTCGTCGCCATCGAAATCGGCATTGTAAGCCTATTGAATGAACCGCCGGGCGTAAAAACTTTGTAAAAAAATTGCAACTATGTATTTCCAGTTTTTGTTAATTATTATTTTTTAACGAGTTTTGAAAATTGTATTTAGGAGATTATGCCCACCACAAATCTGTGGTGGCAAATATTAAACTGCATTAATCTAGAGCAAAACAGTTTCGCAACAACAACGGTAACTGCAGAGATGTAAAAATTAAAAAAAAATACAGTGGAGTGGCGATTTAGTAAACTTCGCTTTGAGTGAACTACCCCCTAGGGTGAACACACAAATGGTATCATTGTGCGCATTGAGCAGTAAACTCCGATACCATGAACTGCGACGCACGTCGTGAAATACATAAGTAGGGAATTCCCCCGGCGACTCGGGGATTTTGCATGTTTCATTGTCGATTATTATTTGGGTGTATTTTACATGCCATCAAGTTCAGTGCGAAGTAGTACGATTAAATGTCATGTTTTGCATGTCGCAAATAAAGAAGTGTTTGAATTTAAAACAAAACTGAACTGCTAGAATACCTGAGAAAAGGTGATTGTGTGACATTGCTTGCTAAAAAATATGGAATAGCCAAGTCAACCGTATGTACAATAAAAAGAAAAGGGCGCTGATACTAAAGAGATTACCACAACATTTGGGGCTGTTGCTTCACGAAAGGGCGAAGCAATTGATATAAATTCTTCATTTAATGCTAGCAATGGTTGGATAAATAGGATCACAAAACGTTATGCCATAGGACTACTCCAAATACAATACAATATATAAGTTTGAGAAGAAATATTGAAATATTGGCTCTGGCGTCAGAACATATTTATAATGCCGATGAAACCGGCCTTTATTGGAAGTTGTTACCTAGTAAGATTTATGTATCAGACACAGAGAAAACTGCGTCGGGCAGAAAAACTTCTAAACCACGGATAATATTTTTGAATCCATTAGTCCTAGGAAAATCCAAAAATCCACGCGCCTTTCGAAATTTTAACTTGGCGGTTAATTATATTGGGTTGTTCGGAAAGTCATTTCATTTTTTTGGGGAACATGAAAGACAGTTTTCGTATAATGAATAAATATTTTATTAAATTATATATTGGCCATTCTGGTCCAACACCTTTTGCCATCTTTCTGGCAGTAACATAATTCCCCTCTCATAAAAGTTTTGGTCCTTGCTGGCAAAAAACTGGTTCAGGTGGTTTTTGACGTCTTCATTTGAGGTAAAGGTTTTGCCATCCAAAAAATTTTGCAGGGACCGGAACAAATAGTAGTCGGAAGGCGCCAGATCTGGAGAATATGGTGGATGTTGCAGTACGTCCCATTCAAGCTGTAAAAGTTTTTGGCGAGTGACCAAACTTGTGTGAGGTCTCGCATTATCCTGGTGGAACACTACACCCTTCCTGTTGATTAATTCGGGCCTCTTCTCTTTAAGTGAATCATTCAATTTGTCCAGTTGATGACAATAGACTTCTGAATTAATCGTTGTATTGTCCCGCAAAAGCTCAAAAAAACGATTCCTTTGACATCCCACCAAACGAAGAGCATCACCTTTTTTTGGTGAATGTTGGCTTTTGACACGCTTTGAGCCGGTTCATCTTTTCTGCTCCATGACATCTTGCGTTTAACATTGTTGTATACAACCCATTTTTCGTCGCCAGTAATAATCCGCTTCAAAAATGGATCATTTTTTTGACGTTTGAGGAGCAAATCACACACGTCAACGGGACGACACAAATTTCGCTCCGTAAGGACATGGGGCACCCACACATCGAGCTTCGAGGTTAAGCCCATGCCTTTCAAATGGCCATAAACAGTCGAATTCGACAAATTTAATCTCTCACCGATCTCTCGTGTGGATATTCGCCGATTTGCATCAACTAATGCCTTTATCGCATCTTTGTCAGGTTCGACCGGCCTTCCAGATCGTGGTGCATCTTCGACATCAAAATTGCCGGATCGAAATTTTGCAAACCAGTTCTGGCACTGGCGTACTGTTAACACGCCTTCTCCATACACATCCGTCAATTTTTTTCTCGCTTGGATAGCATTTTTACCTTTTCTGAAGTAAAAAAATAAAATATGACGAAAATGCTGCTTATTGCTCTCCATATTTAAAAGGGCACCAACCAAAAACTACTGCGTAGAATTAATAGAACTTTTTCACACACAAGCCTTGCAATATCAGCTCTCAAGACATATAATGGTTATGCGGCTTAAGTGTGAAGTTGGTTTCGAAAAAACGTAATCAAGTCCTCTGACGGGAAAAAACGAAATGACTTTCCGAACAACCTTATAGAAATTCTAAGACTGCATGGATGACAATGAAAATTTTTCGAGAGTGGTTCATAACATGTTTATCCCCGAGGTAAACAAGCATAAAAAAGTATGTAACAGTAGTATGTAATACAATTTTCATTTTTAGGTGAAGGTGTTTTTAATGAGTCGTGTTAATATTGTTGGATAATGCATCGAGTCATCCACCTGCAGCCGACTTGTTTATGCCACCAAAGAATTACCAAGTTATTTTATCGTAAAAACCTACTAAGCCAGTTTTTGTCAAAAGGCTCCGACCTAAGTGCAAACTCGAACTTGAACTGACTGTGAAAAAGGTTCGAGTTATAGAGAGTTTGAAATAAAGAAAAAATGAATACGTACTTTAAATATGATTTTTCTTTATTTCTAAAACAAATTCTAAACAATCGAACAGTGCAAAAAAAATAGCTAGTTAATAAATTCTGCCAGCCAGGCTGTACTTGTTTTTAAATGTTCATTTTCTAGCCTATATTATATGGTTGACAAATAATTTTTTCTTGGATGACATTCTCTACTTTTTAAGAATCTCCGTTTTTTCATCAATTATTGTTAATGTTTTAAGTTGTCGCGACGAAGATCCCTAAAATAGGTTGATATACAGAGAGATTCAAGTTACAGAGGTTCGTTAATTTTTAATTTGGTATATTACAGGTTGAATGTGAAATAAACGACAATAATGAATGGAATAAAGATGAACCAGCAACCTTAAATTAGTTTAAGAATGAAATAATTGATTCTGGTTTGGAAAAAGATGACAATGACAATACTATGTCAAATACAGAAGGCAAGCTTATTTCAACAAGCCAAACTATGCGATCTATTAATGACCTTATCCAATGGGCTGAAGAAAATGGTGATGTAGTAGAATATAACAGCTTGATTGTGTTGCATGATTTAAAATAAAAAAATTGTAGAAACCAACCTACAGAAAAAGTTAAAACAGCCAAAACTAATGTCATTTTTCACGCATGTTCCATGAAAATATTACATTAAATATTTTTTTCTACTCCTGTCTGTAAAATACCTAATTACACATCGACCTAGTGTGCGGGAAGTGTCCCATTACCACGTCAGTTTCGTTTCCCATGATTCCGAGCCACTTCGGACATTTTCGGGATTTTACCGCACGGATTTGGGAGTAATCGGATGTTTTCGGAGATATTTCCCACGCTTTGAATTTTGACGTTTGTCAATTCTGACGGTCATGTCAGTGAATGTATTCGTGTTGTTTTGCTAAAATGTATCCAAAAACTAACGGTCGTAGAAAAAGTATAGTATGCAACACGTTCGGTAACCTTTTTAACTCAAATGAACTTGTTGCATAATATACTATTCCCATAAACCTTAGTATGCATTGAAATATAATAGTACTTTTTTATTGTTTGTCACTTTTTGCAGAATATATATGTATGAAATAGTAAAATTGCCTTGACAAAATAAGTTCACCAAATCGCGGCTTCACTGTATATATATTTTTAAATTTATTATCTTTGTGTATAAAAAACTTTTATCTCATAGATTATTGAAAATATATATGAACTAAATTTTAATGACCAATGATTTTTTAAAACCACCTATTGTTTAAAAGAATATTTATTTTGACCACCTATTGCTTTTGACCATTATTTTTTAAAAGGAATTTGGAAAACTCGAAACAACTTAAAGTACCGTTAAACCTTGTAATCACAGCTGATTTCAAAGTGGACTTTTTTGGCTACTCCAAAAATTGTTTATAATTGAAAACAATCTTTCTTCCTCTGCATTAGTACCAGTTAGGCAGAGTGCAAACTCAACTGTCAAAGATATGTTTTTAAACCCCAGTTGTTTTTTGTACAATTATGAAAGACTTCAAGATATCGGACACAAACATTCATATCATTAGCTTGCCAATCTTCCAATTTTTGATTGGAGACAAATTCCTTTATTAAAATAATTTATTAATGTTTCAATATATAACAACATAATTTTTGTTGCGGGTTGAATTTCTAAGTAATGTGGTATGTTTTTAAGTAATACCCATTCAAATGTATAAATGTTGAAGTATGCGTTCCAAATCTGGAGCATGAGCGAGCCAACGTGTATTATCACAGCCTAGAAGATTTTTAAATTTGATTTCTACAAATGCTACAGAATTCTTTCACTTTTTCAATTCTAACAGCGTAGGTGTTAATTAAATTAATATTTAATATTGACAGACATGCGAATGTTAACATTATTGCACATTCATCCAAATCATTTCAAGACACTCAAATGGACAAAAATGCTACTCAAAATAGTTCAACGAAATGCAATTAATTCACTGGAAATAAGTAAATAAGCAAAGTAGTTTGTAAAGCAACGATTGTGCGACGAGAGACGTCCCCACAATTCTGATTTTGGATAGCTACGGGTCGATGACGGCGCAGTTAATAACTTGAGTGAGGTATACAGGATCCCTGGATAATTACATGTACAGGGGTATTAAGTGTATACAATATGCCTAAGTTATATTATTTATGTTATGTATGCCATGTTAAGCGTCAAATTAAATGTTTTGAAAGTAGATTACGAATTAAATATTATTATTAAATAGGTCTTTGTTAATATTAGGTGGGCATAATAAATAGAAATATTTTTTTTACCTTGCAATTAGCATAATGCATCCTTAAAGTTTTCTCCCCTTTCAAGATTCGAGCTCGGTGCGCCATTATTGACGGTTTGTGCAGGGTCGGTTGTCTGTTCAACAGCAGTATGTCCCCGTTCTGCAAATGGCGATGTACGACTTTGACACCTTGAAAACCTCGTTTCCCTTGACTGTGGGGGGTCAGTAGCACCTAACCAAATATTAAGCTATGAAAGTAATAAAAGAAAAACTAAACTGAACTATTTAAAAACAAATCTACCTATCACCTGCAGTTTAACACCAGCTTAACGTTAAGGTAACAACAAAATACTACAAAAAAATAAAAGAGAATAAAATCAAAGAAACAAATGAAACTGGCAGAATTAGTGCTTATTTATTTTACTTCACCTTGTACTCCATTAAAAAAAAAATAGAATCAATTACTGACTTTTAACTGCCACATCTGAAAGTTTGTTTGTAGGGAAAGAGTTTTCTATAACAAAATTAGTGTGTGATTTGGAGAAGTCGTTATAGATTGATTAAAAAATAAGAAAAAGAAAAGGAAAACTTAAAACAGTAAAAAAATAGTAATAGCGTTACTCTATGGCGGACCAGCCATATGTTGTTCAGGTTTACTAATTGGTTTTACATATAGGCTTAAAATAGATGTAATATTTTAAAAGCTTTTCAAATCCAAAAAATATGAAGAGAGTCTTCTCATGACTAGACTGGTATACAAAGAACGCTTTTAACTATTAAGCACATATAGACTTAAAATAGATGTAATATTTTAAAAGCTGGAACTTTTTAATTCCAAAAAATATGAAGAGAGTCTTCTCATGACTAGAGTGGTATACAAAGAACGCTTTTAACTATTAAGGACAAGTATAAGATACATGTAATACAATGCGAAATTTTAATAGCTATAAATCTTTCTTATGCAATGAGGCAATGCTAAATGTACTTGACGATATCGAACACAAATAAGAGATGGCGCTGGCGACACCAGGAGTCAGAGATGGCAGCACTATGCTACTACACTACTGCAGCTACTATAGTCAACTCGTTTTTGAGTTGTATGAAGTTAGCGCTCATTTTATCTTTGGGGTTCCATTTGTAGAAAGAATTAAACCCAAATGTCAAATTTTGTAAAAGTAACTTATAGATAATATATTTGTGATTCTTATTTCATTGCAAGTGAGATCATATTGCAGGAAATGAAATGCATTAAAAGTGAACAGTATTTTCCTGTTTTTATTATTTTAGTGTTGCTAAAGAGATCAAATTATTTAAGTTATTTTTGACAGGTTCCAAATTTTATTTAGAACCAGATTTACAATTTGATCCAACTTCTATGGAGACAATAATGTTAACACTTCTTGCAATATCTCTTTATGTAAAATAATAAATTTTAACCTTTAATTGGGAAAAGTTACATTTTACATTATTATTATTATTTATATTATATTATCAAAATCGTTTTGCAATCCCATCAAAAATGTATTGCACTGCTAAATCATTCAAAGAAAATGCAAATGCTAACAGTTCCTTCTTAATATGACATCAGACGCTCAATAAACAAGTTTATACCAGCTTATCCTTTATAAAGGTTTCAAAATGGCCCAGCATGTGGTTAAATGTTCTTCCAGATAATATTAAAACACTCGAAGTGAAACAATTTGAACAAACTTTTAAAATTCTCAACGTTGATAAAATATTTTACCATATTGATGAATTTCTGAAGTGTTATTTAATGTTTGTTTTTAGTAAGTCTGTAAGTGTTTTAGGTAAAGATTTTATTATAACTATAGTGGTACCTATTCTAATGTAATGTTAACTGTGATTATTATTTTCTTCTTACTGACGTATACAAGTATTTGATAACATGATTAAACTGATTGACTGATTACTTTTAATAAGCTCTCTTGTTGCGCTTGATTGCCAGGATTGATCCTTCTCTGTAGACCGTCTTCCATTTCGACAGCAACTGCTCCGGGGTAAACGTCGGGACCGTTCGAAATAAGGGTGCGCAAATATTCGACGTTCCATGGCGTTACCGGTACGGGATACGTCAACTTTTTCGCGAATACTTCCGGTATGCCGACCTCCCCGATGTCCAAGTTCGGATCGGGCGTGATTACGGAACGGGCGGCAAAATTGACACGCTTTCCCATCATGTGTTGTCTGATTATGCCCGTTTTTTTCTCTATAATCTAAACGAAGTTTGATGAAAAATCATATTGTTGAAACTAAAACACCTGCAAACTTCCAATGTTATTACTTGATTTAATTCACATCTGTGAGAGGTGGATCACTGTTCCTTATAATCAAAAACTACAATAATCCTGAAGACTGTTTAAGCTGTCCAACCCATCCCAAAATTAAATTGCAATTAATGGGCAGTAAAGTAAGTAAGTAAAAAATTAAATTGCTTTTCTAAAGAATATCCTTGCCCGATTTATAGATGGACTAAAACCCCCCATTGCTATTGTGAAAGTAAATACCCATCTTAGACCACAAATTTGGCAAAAAAAAATTATGTGAAACTTCTTAAATTATACCAATATAGTTTACCTCTGCCTTGACGTCTGTACTAGATGTAGAGTGACCCAAAAAATAAACCCCATTTGTTGGCTCCGAACGGAAAACACTTACAAGTCTTATCTGGGGAGTTCTTATTTCATTACCCTACTATCTTTGATGTGTAATAATGTATAATAATTTTGGACAGCTTTTGTCAAGAGATTAAAAGCTCTGTGCTCGAATCTATGTTATCTGTAATGCTCCTAATTAATAATCTAAATCTTTATATTGCTACCCTCGCTTAGAACTGATTTTTTGCAAGTAGATTTCTACATACATGAGACTAGACTTTGTAAACTTTACAATAAAGACTTCAAATTAAAAGAAAAAAAAAACAAGTTGTTTCGATCAAATATGCTGCTCTATATCAGATCTCAATTTCTCTTTCCTTTTTGTTTTCGGTGTTCTTTGAGTCATACATATTTTTAATCCATTAAATGGCCCGAGCCTCATATTGTCCACATGGAATTTCACTGGGAAAAGTGCAAATTCAAAGAAGCCTTTTTATGGTCAATGGTAAGACTTGTTGCAAAAATACTCATAATTAAACATACCAGTGCCGACATCTTTGGTGGCTGACTTTACCCAACTCAGTAACAGATGAACAGTTTATAATAATACAGGGTGTTGGTCATTTTCATTATTTCTTTTAGTGTCCAGAAAAGTCAAAAAAATAAATGTTCATAAAAATACCTTGATTTTCTCATGTTTTTGACTTTTCTGTTCCCCCCCTATTCAAACCAAAAAAGTAAAACATATTTGCCAAATTTCAAAAAAATATCTTTATATTTAACACACTTTTAAAAAGCAGTATTTTTTATTTATATTTAACATTGGACTGAACATTCAAATGTTTTTCCTTTTTTTTTTGGAATATCTGGCCGAGTGTAGGAGTATGTTTTTTGAAACATCCTGTATATGTGGACTGTTCGGAATAATTTAAATTGACCCTGGATAACTGTCAGAAACTTTGTGTATTAAAGTAAAATAAAGACAATGGAATTTGCTACCTGTTTGAGACCGATGCCGTCTTTGAGGTTGGCGCTCTCTTTATTTAGCAGGTCATTGATATTGTTTTGTAGGTCCTCCCAACAGTTATTTAGCTTTTCTATGGCAGTATTTCCTTTTGCGGATGCATAATAATCTTTGGCCTCTTTAGAAGCTAGAGCATTAACGTCTCCTAAAACATGGAGTACATGCAAATTTAAGGAAAAATGCTGAAAGGATATATTTTACAGGATACTTAAAGGTTTTCTTAATGAAACAAAATGTATGAAAAATCCCTGCATATTTGTAATGGCAGTATGATTAACAATTTTGAAAAGGTTTTTTTATACAATTTTTGTTTATTTTTCAGATTAACCAATTACTCAAAAATTTTTGTTTCTTAATCTAAACTGTTGAGATTTGCTGCTTAGCATAACTTAGCATCAAATTTTAGATTACAATGTAGAATATGATAATAATGTCTAAACTGCATGGTGAATCTTGCCAGTTGTAACTTGGTTATAATAAACGGCCAAGGGTAATGTTTAATATTTTAGGAAGGATAGAGTAGATGAAATGAGAAAGCTGAATTTTATATGAAGTAAAAAGCATTATAAACCAACCACAAGCAAATACCTTTTTTTTGAACAACACTTATTAAGTGATTCATGGCCAGTGAATTAGCCACCAAATTCTTATAGGCATTTGTTTGAGAATGTTCAATTCCTCTACCGCGCACAACATTCAGTGGCCTTACATTGGGTGGAGGAACTGGAATGGCTTCCATAAAAAATGCATCGGTAGGGTGTTCCAGTTCAATACTGTTTAAAATTGGCGCCATCAATTTCACAATTTCCGATTCATTTTCCCAAATTTTTCTCAGGTAGTTTTTGGACTGCATTGGGTTAATAAATTGTGACTCTGATGATTTTAACGCTGCAGAAGGAGTCCCAGGTTCTGACCTGAAAATCAAGTGAACTTATATTGACTTTTTTTGTCCTTTAAGAATTACTTATAGTTAGTGATTTGGATAGCTGACACTTACTTTTCTTTCTTGGTTATTAAGAGGATTCTATTTTTCAAGACTTGTATTCTCTTTAATAGTTTCTTGCAGAAAATGCAGAATCTTCCTGTCTTCACTTCCTCCATGACTAATTTTATAAAATCCAGCTGAATCTCATGTGCCTGACTAGATTCAGAAAGTGCTCTTATCCTGTTGTCATCTTGAAGCTGTATCCTGAAGCATTCTAGGCATGAAAACTTTAAAACCATTCCAATTACCTTTAAAGAAAATAAGGCCATTTTATAAACACACGTCTCAAATCAAGAATTGTCTACCAACCTTGTGAAATATTGGGTTAACCACAGGAATGGGTAATTCAATAAATGAAAAATGACCGGGGCAGGTGAAAATATTTTCATAGCAAGTACCACATGGTTCCCCACGGTCCGTACATGGTCCCAAAATTTTATCATAGAGACCGCCTGGTACCGGATGACCCATGGCATCCAATGTTAGCGGTGTTATTATCCGTTGAACGCTTAGCTTTTTAATATCGTTGGACGTAAAAATAGAAAGTTTAACCGCACCGGGCTCAAGATGTTTTGGGACTCTACGTGCGCTATTCATAGTGAATAAATGTATGTACTAAAATAGGCTAAGTTAATTAGTTTCTTTTTTACTAAAGAATAAGTTGTGAATTAAACATGAACATGATCCCACATAATCGACAAGTGCACAAAATTTGAGGTTAATCGGTTAATCTTCTTCCTTTGCTCTTGGAAAGTCATCTTCCTTATTTCCAATGCTAGGCTAACTTTAAATCCAAAAACATTCAAATGATCTTGGTCTTCATACATGAAGTAAGATGAAATAATTCAGTTGATGAAATTGTTGCTTGTTATTTAATGTAAAGTAAAATAAAATTACACTACCAATAAGGACATTATATTTGATCTGATTATAATTATACAAAAAACTGCATAGTTCATCTCTGCTAATTTCAAAGGAATCGGGGTCATGATGTAGGCCAGGTCATGTTATTTTCAAGTTTCTGTTTTTTTAAAGAAATTTCAAAGTCTAGTAACTCCAATTTTTTTTGGTGTTCAGCTTTTGTTCTTCTCTCTTTATTCATCAACATTCTCTTCTCAATCTGTAGGTTTTTAAGTCTAAATTTGTGCTCTTTGACTCTCCTTTCCTCCTCCCTTTCCATATATTCCAGTTGCTTTTTCAAAAACTGAAGGCGAGGTCTACTGAAGCTTTCAGGTAAATCCCATATCATATCATCATCAGTTACATGAAACTTATCATCTTCATTTGTGGTATCTGATTCGCGAGCATTGTGTGACGCTTCCACTTTAACATCAGCAAATGCTAAAATTAAAGTAAAATGTAGTCATTATCTTGTTACCAAATAATATAATTCTAATGAAATATGGAATTTACTTAGGTAAAACTCTCATTAACTAATTAGACAGTTCAAATTTCATGTACCAACATGACTCTGAAAATAAAATACCATCAGATTCATAGGTTGGTGACATTCCATTGGCTGTCGTTTCAAGAATTTGAATCAATTCTTTTTCATAATCTTCTAATTCAATAAAATCCGGTTCTCCATCCGTCCTGGCTTCTTCCTCTTTGTTTTTTGCTGCCTTTTTCCTGGCTAGCTTTTTAATACCTTCATACTTCTGTCTTACAGTTTCAACTGTCCTCATCATGGTGCCTGAAAGGTAAGAAAAAGGTAAGTTGCTTTCAGAAGTAATGCATAAGACCTACCGGGGTGATCATTAAAATTTTGAGTAATTGAATTCCAAACAGTATCTTTAATTCTCCATGTTTCGGAATCCGTTTTTTTACTTTCGATTACATCTATATGAGCAAAAGCTAATTTCATTAGAAAACGCACTTCTGCGTCTGTAAAATTTGGTGACCTCTTTTTTCGCCCTCCGGCTTCAGGAGACTTATTTTTACCCATGACTACCTATATTGCGGCGTCATCTTAAACACATCTTAATAACACTCCAATTTTCCATCAGAAGACAATTCAATTCCTCACTCGATGCATAAATATAAACAAAATAACCTATTACAATAATCTTCTTCTTCTTAACTTTCTTCGCTTCTGCCTTGAGCAATTAACCAGCACAGTAATCTTCTTTTTATGAAGACCTAAAAGCCAGGTTTGTTCTTTGATCACAGATTCTGTTAAGCACATATGGTTAAAAGAAGTACTTGATCAACAGTGTCCGTTATGTATTTGAGAAGTCAGAATTTATTCTGTTTGTAAAAATTTTATCTACAAATTTGGCCTTTTAAAAAAAAATCCGCATATTCCCCACAGATTTATTTCTTAGGCAAAAGTGAAAAAATATCATTTCGGTCGTCCATTGAATTAACGACATTTTTTCCAAATTTAAAATGGCCTTCGCCTGTTTTCGATTCGTTACCGATAGCTTGAAGTCGCCTGTACAAATAATAAGTTATTGGTATAAATTAAAGGTTACCTTGAAACGTAAATATGTGTTTATGCGTACCTATCTTATCGAGGGAATCAGTTTTTCGAATCGGCTGCGATAATAATGGGAATAATATTCGTTGAGATTCCCCCAACGAAAATTAACCTCAACATAATGTCCGAGTTGAGTGCCATTCGTTCGTTATGTAGGTGTAGGTGCGTACGTAAAATTTTGTTTCGCCTACTACCATAATTTTTGTACTTCAGTACTTTTATGCCTTTTCTTGAAAATGGTGGAGTCTTTGGCAAATTAGGTAGGTATATCGTTTGTAGATGACTAGTTTATGATAAATAGAAAAACCTATATTAACTTTTCACATTGAAGTCGACGCTGTTATCGGGGACATGACGTAATCTGTTTTCCTACGAGTCATTGACTTTCATTAATAAATCATAAATAATATATAAGGCAATGTGTACACGCTAAATTTTTAAACAACAGTAAAAATTCAATTCAGAAGTTTTCAGTTTGGTCATTTATGTACATATATGTATACTTTTCTCATTGTTTCACATTGTTCTCAAACCATTCTAAAATTTTTGCACTGCATCACATTTTTGAAAGAGAGTCAATCTTAACTCTATTCCTCCTAGTTCCAAATATTCTAAGTTTTTAAATTTCTGGAAACGTTATATCTAACTACTCAGAGGAACAATGTAAAACAATCGATTTCCTTTCTTGGAAAATCGCATTTAAAAAAAAAATCAGGGAAAAGCAAACGATTTAAAACTCGGCTTTCGGCGGCGGCATTTTTGAAAATGTACCCCAAAGAACATCATACAAAATTTGTGCAGAAATTGTCAGCCTTGTTGATAATGTTAGAATGCCAAGATTGATCGATTCCACCCTGTTTTCAAGGCTTTATCATGCCGGTTTAGTCATAAATATTTTTTTCCCAAAAAAATCAAATTGTAGTACATTTGCAGTTGCTCTTTTATCAGATAATGTCACACACCCATACCCTTTTCCTCCTTGAACGTGATAATGATACAGAACTAATCTGGTACCATCCCTAATATAAATCGCTTGACATTTTTGTCGTCGAACTGCAGTACAATTTCGAAGCACAGAGTGCCAAAAAATACAGTCTAGTTTTATTCAAAGTATATCGTGTCCTATTTTTTATTACATTTATTATACTGGTACTTAGCTTTAATTTTGCTTGGTTTCACAAATCTTCGATGGGGTTAAACGTACTCACTCAAGAAATATCTGGCCCACCTCTGCTTTGTCACTCAAGTATGAATACATTATTTATTGATGAGTTTATCTAATAATAACAGGTAACAAAATCGTTAGAGGTTTATTGGGATAGGGTCCGTCAAAAGGCAAGGCTTTGGGATACACCTTACATTAGCTTTCTCGGTCAGATGACCAAGGCTTTAACCCTCCGGATGAAATAAAGTTACACATACGCACCGCTGGGGCTTGTGAGGTACATATTTATTAAGGGCGGCAATCTCACTTGATTTTACTGCTTACCAATCAATTCGTTAATAACGATATTTTTTAATTACACGAAATCAGTAAAGTTACATCTGGAAATAGCAAATAAATGTATATAGCACTACGTAATCAGATATGGTTTAAAGCAGGTAACGGCGATCGCCAGATACCTTCGATACAATTCAATTTTGGTTGAAGTTGAAAAGTTATTAGGTACTTCCGAAATGATGGTACCCTACCCATTATGTCCGCACATCTTCCCTCTTTAGAGGTGCTTTATTTTATATTGGTAGCAGTTAAGTACGCATATTATTAATGTATTATTTATTAATTATAGTGTACAACAACTAAACATTACTACTGATTTCTGGCGTGCTCGGAAATCGTGTTCTTATGTTTTCTTGTCGGATGTGACATCATTGGGGGCAACGTCACTTCATGGGAAGCGTCATCTATTACTTGGTCACTAAACTAATGCAACTGGTCTAAAGAACCCTGCATAACACATCTCCCGTTTTTACAATAATTAAAAATAATTCTAAAGAACCCTGTATTACATACTCTAAACAGATGGAGCAAGTTTTATTCCCTTTTAAACACAGCTTGCTTGTGTTGCGCCATGGTATGGAAGTGTTCGCTAAAAATTTTTGTTTTCATTCTGTCATTTTGGCTTGAAAAAAGGCTAAAAACCAACAACTGTATCATATTACCTCTGAATGATACCCATAAACGCTTGTTTTGGCGGCTATTATTGTGGCCAGAACTGCCTGAATTCCGGTGCCCTATTTTATTTATTTAATGACATTCTTGGCCTCCGATAACCATATTTTCTAAAGTTTTGGTCAGTTTTTGTTATCTTTTGTAATCTTTAAGGATTATTTCAATAGTAAGTAAGTAAGGAAGCATTTACTAATCTCTCTGACCGACAACGTGTACAAAATACACAATGTCATATAACATATAAGACATATAAAATAATAAAAAAAACAAATTAAGAAATGTATATATTGAAGATCAAATCCAATAAAACATTATTTTGTGTTTTCATCTTAAAAAAAAATCCACTGAATAGTTTTTATTTGGCTAAAAGGTCCAGTTGTTCATTCCTAATGTTATATTCATGCGTTTCGCATCCCTTAATGATATTTTTGTTATTATTTTTTTGTGAGCATTATCAAAGAATAGGTATAGAGTCAAAGAAAAGTCAATACATTGTATTTTTGATGACGGCTTCTTTTTGTAAAATCAATATTTTTCCAGAATCTCTTGAGGTTCCCCAAAACACTACCCTAATAATTAACCTAATATTACGTAATGTACGGTAAAGTAGTTAGTTTTACTAGTACGTAATGAGTAAAATCAGAGAAATTAATTTAAAGTTCGTCAACTTTTGAAAAAACCCCTTTAAGAAATACAGTCGAACTTCGATAAGGCGAACTGCGATTTGACACATGAAAATTTCGAGTTATCCAGACTTCGAATTATCAATAAAAACTACAAATGCATGTACTTTTTTGTGAATGAACATTTATTCATTCATTTTGAAAAATGGGTTATACGTTACATAAATGCCCAAAAAACGAAAATTATGAAATATGTAGTAGTACATATGTATGTATTTACATAATATGTATATGTACATACAAATGTATTGTATATGTATCCAGTATATATAAACATAGTATGTATGCACATATGTACATGTTAAAGTTTACTCTTTCACTGGAAAAAAGTCAATTATTTGTGACTGACGACCGGATTTCTTATTTTGGTTTTCAACAAAAGCTTCAATTTTATTTAAACAATCATAGAGGGAATCGGTTGTGTATTCACTTGTTTTCAAATAGGAACGCAAGACAATCAATGAATTTTCAACCAATTCATTTGAAGGTGGTGGCTGAGAATCATCTTCCAATTCCTCCTCCATCGTGTCACTTTCGCAGTCATCTTCGATGTTTAACTGTACCGGATCGGATCTGCAGGACTCGATATCTCCATCAGTAGGAAACTCTGAAGTAACAATATCCTCATCCACATGTATAAAATCGTTGATGGTGCTACCTTCTGCTATACCTCTAATGTTTGTCCAAGCTTTAAACTCGATTTCTATGTGGGTTTCCTCTTCACTCTTTTCTTTCAGGCGTTCACTTTATTAAAAAATTGGTATTAAGGGTAGCTAGCCTTTAAAGGGTTGGTGAGAGAGGGTTACAAAATATCTTAATAACGTTTATTTTATGCAACAATAATTATATATTTTTTTATCATTTTTCTCAAAGATTGTTGATTTCCCAACACTCATCTTCCAAAACAGATTTTTTTGAAATTTTGGAAAACAACTCAAAATAGAAGAAAAAAAAAATTATACCACTGTTTAAAAAAACAAAAGACCTTTCGAATGATGTGCCACATGACCCATGTTTCTATATAAGATTTTGAAGTGGGGGTAGCTACCCCTTAGGGGGTAGGTCGGGGTGGGTCGAAAAGTACCTTGAAATGATTCCCCCTTCCAACCTTTCAAATCGGTTTTTCATTTTTTTAAAATTCATTTTCATTTTAAACTTATAGCCCATTGACAGTTTTAAAAGGGACACTCGGTATGTATGTACCAAACCTGCGTTTCCAATTATCGAGCCAACCGGTGCTTGCCTTAAAGTTTGGTTGTCCTAGTTTTTCACTAAACTCCAATGCCTTTTCTTTGATTAAGCCCCCGGATATAGGTAAGTTCTGCCTTCTTGCCGATTTAAACCACTCTAAAACTGCTTTATCTACATTTTCATACACAGGCTTTTTTAGCCTCTTAATACCCCCACTTGCATTGCCACTTTCCATTGCGATGATGACTGAATATTTTTCAAAATTGTAGACACTGTACCTGCCGAAATCCCATACTTCGCAGCTACATCTTTATTTTTTGAGCCACTTTCCATTTCTCTTATAACCTTGAATTTTTGATCGACAGACAAAGCTTTTAAAGTACGTTTTGATGACATATCAACAAATGCAAAAATCCAAAAATGTCTTTAATATAATGTGTAAATTCAATAGGGACAGCATTTTTCACTTTCACAGTAAGTCATACAAGTGAACTTAGCAAGCACAGAAACTGAGCTGCTTGCATAGATACGTTAAAAAGACAGGTTAAGATCGGTCGTAATTGGTGGGTTCCCCGAGAAAATTCGACTTATCGAAGTTGGCACCAAATGTTTCGTTCGAGTTATCAAGATATTCGAGTAATCGAATTTCGAGTAAACAAGACAATTAATTATCCAGTATGCATAAAAAAAACATAGTTTTCTATTTTATGAGAGACCCATGCGGCTCGTCAGTTGACCTTATTATTTATTCTAACGGCCCTTCTTTTTAATTTTTCGAAGAAACTTCTACAGGCTACTGTAATACTTTTTATAAAACTTTTGGATTCTGGAAGTTTTACAAAAGGCCTTTCTTTTGTTATCTTGAGTTTGCCTCCTTCTTTTACGAATTAATTAAATTATTTATCGAATAAAATTGCCACAAATAATTATTATATTTTAATATAATTATTATTATAATTATTCTGTAAGGTGTTCCGTTGGAAAGAAGCAAGCTCCGCTATAACAGACCCGAGTACCCCAGCTGGAACAACTGCAGTAGCATTTGAACGAATAGTTTAACATTTTTATTAAATTGCACTACACTACATAAACTACATCATAATTTATGTGGAGATGGACGTCATCCACATAGATTCAGCTTCATTCACCAACTAATCTAACGCTCCTATCCCTTTCCAGAACTCAACATCAATGTCTGATGAACTGAAGCAACTGATCACGGTCAATCGCGTCGACGACGATGAGTATTCCAAGAAATCTCGGGCCATTTTACGTGCCGTGCTGGGCAACAACGTCAACGAACTCGAAGACGTCTTGCGCGACAGCTCGGACGAGCACTTCCAATTCAAGCACCCGGAGCACGACAACAGCAACGTCGTCAACATCGCCTGCGTGGAGAGCGGCGTCATGGACGACGTCTTTCGGTTGCTTCTGAGGCACGTCCTTCAAAAGCACCCGTTTATCAATTTGTCGGATCGGAAATGGTACTACTGGGAGCCCATACATTTCGCGGCCTTCAGCGTCAGCTGGGGCAAACTGAAAGTGATCGCCCAGAACCTGGACCGACGGAAAATCAACGCGTTGACGTTGTTCTCAGAAAACGCCCTCCACGTCCTGCTGGAGTATGGAAAACGTATCGACTCGTACGACGTATACCTTACCAACGGGTGGGACAGCAGGCTGTGCCACGTCATCGCACGGGAAAAAGAAGACCTCGTCAAGTGCGCGAAGATTTTAATCGACGCCGGCGTCGACGTCAACCACGATAACATCTTCGGGGAAACGCCCCTAGTGCTGGCCATCAAGTACCGTTACTTAAAAGTGATCAAGCTGCTGCTCAAACGGAAGGAGATAGACATCAAATCTCGGACTGATCCTGTGACAGGGAAATCTCCTCAGGAAATATTACGCGAAAACGACATCTACGTTGAGTACTTAGGGTCGTACAGCGCCCAGACGGAGGACCCGAAGAAAACCCTCTTCGGGTTCCTAAAAAGGCACCACGAGGACTTTTTCCTGCGCTACAATAACGAGAACATCCGTCAGTATGCGAACTTGCTGGACGGCGACAACGAGCTGAACACTAGCGGTTCCTTGCTGCAGCTGTGTTTCCTGAAAGGTTACCTCGAGTACAAGAAGGAGATGGGTTACGAACCGTCCTCGATAAAGGACATCATGAAAACCACCATGCTGAGGGTGTTTTGTAAGAAGGGCTTCGCGAGGTCCATCGAGCATTTGCTCAACAACGGTGCGGATGTTCGCGTGAGGAACCGCATGTTCGACTACGCCAACGTGCTCGAGATGTCGGTCGAGTTGTGTTATTACCCGTTTTTGGCGGTACTGTTCGAGCATCCCTCCGACCAGGTGTCCGCTGAGGATATTTTCGCCATTTTGGACAAAGTCGACAGGAGGTTTTTCCGCACTCATAACCGCAACTTTCGACACGTGCTGTTCGTCTTGATAAAAAAGCTTGAGGTGCTCTACGACGCAGAAATTTGCCCCCTCAGCGTAGACTACCCAAAGAGGAGCACGTTGAACAACCTCATGGTTTTGTACTTGGAATTCAACGCCGCGGACGAGTACGACGACAACATTCAGCAAATACTGAAGCTGAACGCTTCGCTTGCTAGTGCTAGGGGCGGTACCAAGTCTCCAGTGGAGCTGCTGGACTACGAGGTGCTCGAGATGCATTTGGACCAATGTTTGGATAAAAGCGACAACGTATGCTACGACAGCATCGTGCTAGACGACGGCGAGAACTACTCGGAGACGAGCACTCTTCATATGCTGGCCGACGATCGACAGAAGAAGGAGCTGCTCAACCACCCGGTCCTAATCCTGCTCATACACTCCAAGTGGCTGAAAACCAATAAATTCTTCTACGCCGACTTAGTCCTCTACACGCTGCTGTTGCTGTCGCTTTACATCTACATGGTGAAGCTAGAGATAGGCACCGTAACGCCCCTGATATATTACGCGTTCTTCTCGTTGCTGACCTTGCACACGCTGAAGGAAACGGTCCAGCTGGTGCTCTACAGACATTACTACTTCTTGGACATCGCAAATTACCTCGAGATGACCACGATAGCGTCGTGCTACGTGAACTGTTTCTCGAAAAACGAAATATGCATGGTCGTCGCCATTCTGTTCTCGACCGCCATTTTTCTGTATATGCTCGGCCAGATACCGCGGTTCACCAAGTACATGATCATCGTCAGCTCCACCAAGTATTTTTTTGAGTACGCTCTCTTCTATTTTATACAGTTTTTCTCTTTCGCGTTGTGTTTCTTCATTTTGCTGCCGCCGCCGGGAGGCACAAACTCCTCCAACGCCCTCGGCGAAATATTCAAGAAACTGTTCGACAGTTTGATATTCTTTATAGGCCAGTTTGACGGTGACGTGGCCGATCCGCCTTTGTATCCCGTGTTCGGGCGCGTCATCGTCGCCATATTCGCCTTCTGCATGACCATCATCTTGAACAATTTGCTGGTGGGGTTGATCGTGACCGACATGGACGTCATCCAAAAGACGGGCAAGTTGCTGAGGCAGATCAAAACGGTCAGATATATCATAAGGATCGAAGTGTTCCTCAAGCAACTGCGAAGGTTTCCCTGTTTTCGAAAGTTCGACTTGTTAAAAAGCACTCGCATATTTAATCGAAGGGTGAGGAAACACATGCACTTCGAGTCTGTCATCCGCGAGAGCGTATTCGACGAGGAGGATCGCGAACGCATAAAGAAGATTCGTAGCAACGAAAACCTAAAAGAGGCGTACAGCAAAAACTTCCTGAGAACGTTGTACGAACACATAACGTCTGAGCCGTCAAAGGAGAAGAAGTCTGCGAGAGGCAATAGGGAAATATTGGAAAAACTTAATGGGTTACACGAGAAAATAAATTTGATGTCTGAAAGACAGTGACTGTTTCTATTTATATATATATATATATATATATATATATATATATATATATATATATATATATATATATATATATATATATATATATATATATATATATATATATATATATATATATATATATATATATATATATATATATATATACATAGAAACAGTTTTCATTTGTAAGAGAGGGGAAAATGTTGGAAAATTTGAAAAAAAGTTATTTCAAACAAGTGTTTAGAATAGTGTTTTAACACTATGTTCGTAATAAATTTATCAAATACATCTTAGTTTTAATTCAGAGAAACTCGTTATCGCTTCTAGGGTCTAACATTTCCGATATACAGCATAAATAATTTTTTGATAGGGCTAGGAATTTATTAAAGGCCACCAAAATTGTACTTTTTTTTTTTGGCAAAAATAACCTGGATAGCTGTATATAATACATCGTCAACTTTATGTGCAAATTAAGTCTGCACAATATGTGGAACTTTTTGGTTAGTTTTGGTTATCGGGCAGAGAAAAAACAACCCCGTAGCACTTAAGCACCGTACTAAAATGTTTTCACCTAGCACAAACGACCGGCAAATCCTGTATCCTGGCAGGATCGCTATTTGATATATTTTGTGCGGAATTAACAATGACTTTTTTACAATATAGGAATATAAAAGGTACAGTGAGCTGCATAATTGCATACTAGACCATAAACCGATTGCGCCATAAAATAATAACTATAGATATAGCAGCTAATTTGCAAACTTGAAATGCAACCAATACATACAAAGTTTGTCGAACAGTTAACCACAAGCGACGCAGGAAGAGTCCAGAAGATTTGTAATTAGTATTCCACTAGCCTGTGGAAATTTCATTGAAAAATGAAGAGTGAAGCACTTTTATTTTTGCAACTTTTTGCAAAAATAATTATTAATATAATAAAATTAATATTAATAAAATAAAATTCTAAATAAAATTTATATGGGGATCATGCTTTATTCAGCATTTTTTTAAGTGAAACCCCATGTACAGAGTTTTTCTCAAGTGAGTGTCTATGAGGTTATCGTAGTGATTTTAAGAAAACACTATGAATAGACGTGAATCCGAAGATGCTGTGGTTTAAACAAACAAAATACATAATTTACACTCTCTCTCTTTGATTTTGTTAGTAGCTCATTTTGGAAGACAAAACAAACATAAATAAAATTATTTATCATTAAAAAATTTTACCAGATACGGAAAAACACAAGAAAAAAAAACAAAAACTTTTAATTTTTAGTTACTACCCAAAAGACATACAAAAAATCGGAAGAAACTCAGTGGGTCACGTTTTTTTGTCCAAAAAAATATTGGTCTAATTGGAGCTGGTTTCCATTTTCCACATTTGTTAAAATCCGTTTTTTTTTTGCAAAAAATCGCCAGCTAAAACTTAGTTGTCTAGTTTTATAACACCCTGTATCTTTCATACCTGCCCTACAGGACTTTGAAAACCCACCCTGTTATCAACTATATAAAAAAATGACGTAAATACAACTACATTCATTCGCGTTTTTCGTTGCCTAAATAAATAATACGTTCCTGAAAACGAATGTTCTTTATTTTAATTAAAAAAGACATTAGTGACTTAAATGTGCTGCCTAGGAGTGTTTTCCCTTCTCTATCTTCTTTCCGCCGACTACATCACGAAGTCCAAAATAACCCTAACAATTCTACGTTGCAAATATTCTAGAAATAAAACTACAGTCACTACTGATGAATTTGATTTATGCAAGATGTTTGTGGAGTCTTTTTGCCAATGTATCAACTTGTTCTTTCCATGAAAAGGTTAGTTTTAGTTTATGAAATGTTGAACAATTTGCTTTTTTGTCCCAAATAAGGTCTAAATATTATTTAATTTGCTTTAGTCGCGTTCAAAGGTTCGAATCCTAAAATTGTAGCTTAACACGACGTCCTAGAGGTAGATTTTTGATATGTTTAGTGCTGAGGTTCTTTCTATGCCAGTTTATTAATTGATAATCACTCTTACAATATAGGAATATCGAAGGAAAAGTGAACTAAACAATATACCGATGGCGTCGATAATGTAAGACGGAATAGACTGAGCGTCCGGATCCAGAGAAGGTTTAATAAACATTTAAACTAAATATTTCCTACTAAGTTCAAAAACCCAGCTACCCATCTAGCTCCCAGCACATATTACTAATAAATCAGTTTTTTGCAATGGAACAACATCGTTTATATAAATTACGAAAAGAATGTGGTCGAGAAGAGAACCCTGAGGGATGAGTTCTTGATGATATTAAAATCTTTTTTCAGCAAGATTCTCTTAAAGAACACATTATTTGTTCGCTTCTGCAACAAAAAAAATATTTATCGGTATGTTTTAGCGACAATTGTACACGAAAAGAAGCCCGTTTGTCGATATAAATTTGTTACCACTTCAATGAAACAAAATTTATGCCCACTGAATTATCGCATTTGCTGCTAGCTGACAGTAAATCAAAAACTAATGTATTTGCAACTACTTTTTACAAAATAAATGAATAAATACGGTCACATTAAATCTAATTTTTAATTCCGCTTGTCGGTGCTATTTCCGGGGATTTAAATCGAAGCGATGTTGCCATGCCTGACAATTTTGTCCTATTTTCACAAAATATACCTAATATCTTTCCTTTGACGACTATTATATGAAATCTGAGCTGCCGAGAACATGCTTGTTAGTTAATAGATAAAGCATTTTTGTTACTGAACAACATTGGAGTAATTGTGTTCATGTCATAGAAAAAACGGAAAAAGAAATATGGTCCGCAGATAAACTCTAAGACAAAACTCATTGTTAGCTTAAAAATTGTCAGCTTGCTACAGTTCTGAGATCGGCATTGACATCCAAGAATAAAAAAATAGATCTGATGTATGTGCTCCGTAATCTCTCCAAGGCGGCAGTGATAGATTGGGAATATTCTTTATTTAGAACTTCTGTTCTAATTCGTTTTTCAGATGTTTCCAGTTTTCGACGGTATTTGCGTTTTACACGATCTTTTACACTTTATCATAAAAATGCACCCATCGGAGTCAGGTCAGGACTGTTGGGTGGCCATTGTGTTGTTCCATCTTTTTCAATTCATTCATTAAACTTTTGACTTAAATATTCTTTAACGGATATTACACCGTTTTGTTGAAAGACAAGGTTCCTTGGAAGCTAATCCATATAGTTGTCTAATTCGTTCTGAAGAAAAATTAGATTACCGTTACTGTTTAAAGAAAGTCGGAGAAATTAGGACCTATTATCCTGTGTCTTAAAATAGCACATACACTGTGGCCCAGTGTCTGCTGCTTTTTCGATTTATCATATCATGGACGGCTCGTCGGTCCAAAAAACATTTTTTAAATAAGCATTATTTCCGTTAATTTTTTTCAAAAATGTATGGCAAAACTGAACCCTTTTTTCTCGATACCTGGTCGTGAATTTTATGGTGGAGCTATTTTTGAATGGATTCGTATCCTGCTTTTTTGAGAGTGGTTTGAATCCTTCAGTAACGATTTATTTGTTTGATAACTAAACTCTTCTTTTAGACGACATTTTTGTTATGGAAATATTTTCTTTAACTTTTAGTAAAATCCTTAAATCATTATCTTCATCTCTTTCGAATTTTCTCTTATTTATGGCTACGTGGATGTCTGTCGACATTTTTCATAGAGTCAATGAAATGTATTTTTGTCTGGAACATGCACACGGGGGTTAATTACTCCCTTTGAGCCAACTTAGCGCTCTTATTTGCTTTATGAAACATTTATAAATTTTATTCATTTTATTTATCTTATAATAAAAAGAAGGAAAGTTTTGCTAAATCTGTAGTCGGTAACTGGCACTGTCACTTATAAATACACCTTAGATATAAATTATACATTTTGAATGTTGTTTTAATGTAAAAGCTATTGGATTTTGGTATAGGACATATTAGAAATTTAAAATAAAAAAGTTAAAAGTGGGGGGTGGGACAAAATTAGGTAAAGTAATATTGTTTAGATATAATTTGGAGCCGAGCTACGAAATTGGTTGTTGCCCGACACATTGTATTCTCGGTGCGATTTTCACTGTGATTGCTTACAGTTTAAATAAATATAATAAATTTAATAATAAATAAATTAATAAATTTTTAAATTAATAAATTTTTTGCAATATGGAAATTCTGCTATATTGTCCTGTGCATATAGATCAGGGCTTAACCATTGTTCGAAGTGTCTTCGGAGCGCGAGCATTGAAGATGCCAAGTGAGATTTTGGCGAAACGTCTGCAGGATTCCAGTCGGATGCAGGATTTGCAGGAATCCAGTCGGAGTTCAACGAGCGAACGGATGATATCCCGGAATATAGTGTCATCATATATATATATATATATATATATATATATATATATATATATATATATATATATATATATATATATATATATATATATATATATATATATATATATATATATATATATATATATATATATATATATATATATATATATATATATATATATATATATATATATATATATATATATATATATATATATATATATATATATATATATATATATGATGACACTATATTCCGGGATATCATCCGTTCGCTCGTTGAACTCCGACTGGAATCCTGCATCCGACTGGAATCCTGCAAATCTTGCATCCGACTGGAATCCTGCAGACGTTTCGCCAAAATCTCACTTGGCATCTTCAATGCTCGCGTTCCGAAAACACTTCGAGTGTTCGAAGTGTTTTCGGAACGCGAGCATTGAAGATGCCAAGTGAGATTTTGGCGAAACGTCTGCAGGATTCCAGTCGGATGCAAGATTTGCAGGATTCCAGTCGGATGCAGGATTCCAGTCGGAGTTCAACGAGCGAACGGATGATATCCCGGAATATAGTGTCATCACATTTTTCCATCCGTGAATCAATACGTGAGAATATATATATATATATATATATATATATATATACATATATATATATATATATATATATATATATATATATATATATATATATATATATATATATATATATATATATATATATATATATATATATATATATATATATATATATATAT